ACCCAAATATGAGTCTAGTAACTCAGCTGCGTTTAAGAAGGGCAGTTCTGAAAGTTTAAATTGGTGCATGGCTCCTGCTGCCTTCAGGCCAGAAACACCATTCACGTGCCTGCCTGTGCAATGGGAAGTGTTTCCTGGCACCTGCATGGCCCCAGGCAGCTCCTCTAGGTTCCAGGGTGCAAATCTCAAGGCTCTTGTTTGCTGAGGTGTGAACTTGGAGTATTACCATCCAAATCCAATTAATTTACAAACTCTGGCAGTGAGAAAGCAATTCCTTTTCCATCCTTGTTCACCGTGGTTTTGTAAGGAAGTCACTTGTACCGGCAGTATAAAATGCTCTGTGTGCTAATAGCCCTGCTTCTGGCCTCCCCAGGCAACACTGAAGGAAGTTACTTACCTAGAAAGTTCAGGGGAAATTCCCTGGGTTTCGGCAGAAGGGGGGGAGCCTTGAACATCCTACATTGTTGGAACAATGTCTGTTTGATGCTTACAGCTCAAAGATGAATATAGTGTACATATTTCTCTGAAAAGAAATGTCCTCTTCACCTCTAGTTTGGTTCTTTTGATGGTAATCCCCTTTGGAATAGCAGGCTGCTGTCTTGTGTTCCCATGACACACACAGATTAGGAATGATCTTGAGTTCAGAGCATAGTTGCAGCATTATAGAAACAATTTAGGCTTCTCCTTTTCCTGGTTGAACAACAGTGCAGTGTTTTGCAAAGAGACAAAACACAGAACACAATTACACATGTTTAACGTGAAATGGGCTAGCAGTAGAAGGAGGAGGTTGCCGCTTCATTTAGGGGCTCTGGTTTTATTGTACACCACCAGGGCAGAGCTGTCATCATTCATATTGTTACCAGAACCATATAGTGGAATTAAAAACCATGAAATTCAGATGTTTCCTGCCATTTTACTGTAGCTCCAGGCCCCATATCTTTACCCTCAACAGTGTCTTGCTTCATGTCTGCTTTTCTTTGGATTGCTAGAAACAAGACAGAGCCCAGACATCATCTTGCTTTCCTTCTATATCAGTTTAGGAAATTTTGTTTTCCTCCTCTAGTGACTCAGACCTCAGCATTGTGGGAGTCAGATGTGTCACTTAACAGCATTGATTAGTTTGTAGTAACCAAGGAACCTGACCTGAGGCTTGTGAATTAATCTGATTTGTCACACTTACAGGCTACAAGACCATTCTTACAGCAGCTGTTACCAGTGCTGGACGTTCTTGTTGATATGGAATCACCCTTACATTTCTATAGATGCATAAGACAAGAAGTATAAGTAGTATTTCAGGTTTCCCAATCCAGAGAGTTTTCATGTTACTCTGTCACCTTGCTCCAATTTGTAGTCTGTTGCTAAATATGATCCTTATTAAAGGTATTAGTTAAATATTGAATAATCAAGCTGCATATTCTGCTTCCAGGAGCATGGGATTCCCACAGACTTGGGCTATGCTGTAGCCCCCCATCATTCTGGGGTTTATCCTGTCCACACGCAACTCTATGAGGCATGGAAATCCGTTTGGAGTATCCAAGTAACGAGCACAGAGGAATACCCACACCTACGGCCTGCCCGGTACCGGCGTGGATTCATCCACAATGGAATCATGGTAAGCACAGCACAGCTGGCCAAGCAGAGCCCACTTTCCTGCCCAAGGGACAGTCTCCTAGTGACCTGTATCAGGAACATTAATCTTAATATCACCAGCATTTCCAAAATCATTAAGTAAAACAAAGAGAAAAAACTTGGCTAAAGCCACTTTCTGTGTTTCTCAGTACAATTCAGAGGTCAGTATTGAACGGAGAGCAAAACCAACCACAACAAGAATAAGTTGAGATCCCACTGACTTTGTTTGCACTGTGAGTAAATGGTTGGGAGTCAAGAGTCTTCTGAACCTATGTTGCTTATGTCCCTTACTCTTTCTAGTGATCCACAGAGCGTTGCTTTGACATGATGTGTAGAATCTGCTGCATCTACCTCTTACCTAACTTTGCTTTTCTCCGATATTGCCAGGTTCTGCCTCGACAGACCTGTGGTCTTTTTACTCACACTATCTTCTATAATGAATATCCCGGTGGCTCAAAGGAGTTGGACAAGAGCATTCGTGGTGGTGAACTCTTCCTGACGGTGCTCCTGAACCCAGTAAGCTCATCTGAAAGGGGACTCAGTGCGTGGGTGTCTCAGCTTATGTGCCTGATGTGGGTAAGGACTGGATCTTACAGGAGATTCAGTATAACCAGCCATCACGGTGCGGGTATCTCCTGTGTGATGCTAAGGAGATGTGAAAAAGAGGGCCAAGGATGTACTTGCTAGTTAATGCTGCTTTGCTTTACACACTGCCAAGGAAGCGTCATCAGTATTGAGTGTTGACAAGTGCAACACTCTGCAGATGGAAACTAGCCAGGGTGACATGCTGAGTGTGGCCCAATGTAGTGGGTGTTACCTAGGCTGCTGCATCTTCATGAATCAGAAGTGAGATGTGCCTTGGCTCTTTCTGTTCCACGCACATCTGCTGCCTGTTGGCTTCTCCCCTGGTTCACTGATGAGTTGTTCAGAATAATTGCTTTCTCTGGGCTTTTGTTATGAGGTGTTCTCCCCTTTCTTTCAATGTGTATACACTTGAAACAATTTCTGTGTGCTTTTTTTGTAATGTAGCTGTCACCCTCAGTTTGGGAAGATTGTGCTCTGGTACAGGATGAGCTCTGTTGGCGCTCTGTGGTGACTTCTAAAACTTTCAGGCACCTTCAGATGCTTCCGATGTTTACGCTTTTGCTTCGTTTTGGCAGTGGAGCATTTCTCTCTCTGTCAGCAGTGGAGTACTGCGCTGTAAGCTCCTCTTCATTGCTTGTGTTTGCACAGTGACTCAGACCCTTGCATTTCTTCCCTCACTGATAGAGCTGTCTCACAGACCTGATAGAAAGCTGGCCAGCCCTGAAGCCCCAGCAGTGATCCGTAGCAGACTTGAACCAGGCTCTTTCAGTCCTTTTTGGTGCTTCCTGCTCCTTTTGAGTGGATATACCTGCAGGAGTCTCCAAGCCTGTATGTGTATGATTAACTCCACAGTGCAAACAGAAGATGTTTGATCTTCTGACTAGTGAACAAGGTCTGATGTCAGGAAGGAGACTAGCTGTTGATGTTCAGCGGACAGGCTGATCACTTCTCACAAACACTCTTGCTCAGACTACACAGGCAGGTTGCTGCTGTGCCCACAGCTGCTTGTAACATATGGCAAGCATGCTCATACCCTCCTGTTTTCTGTATTCTAGGCTCTCTGTGACTTTTCCTCTTATCTTTCCTCCGTGTGAAGGAAGGGAAATCGTGGCATGCTGACAGTGGAAGGGAGGGGGAGAGGAGGGAGGTGTTATTAGCAAGCCAGTCTCCAGGGTCAATGGGTGTGGATGGGAGGGAGGGAGAGAGAGATGGGACTTGAGTGTAACTTATGTCAGTAGTGCTTAGAGCTGTTTTGGCAGCAGTAGCTGTGACAAGGCAGAGCAAGCTGCCAGGCCTTGTTAAACAGTGCATGTGTGTTACAGGACATGACTGCACGCTCAGAAGTACAGGGAAATGGCTCTGTGGTTGGGCTTGATTTGTCTTCCAAATCCAGTTGCTTGGGACTCTCTTCAGGTGACAGCATTACCTGCGTGAGCCATTTTACCAAATGTAGTCAGTCTTGAGACACAGTGCAGGCTTTGTTTTGTTCGGGAAATCTTGAAGGGGCCCCAGGTAGTGACCTACGTCCTCCCTGCTGTAGTACTTCGTTTAGGCCAGTGAGCCACACACTTCGTGCAGCAAATTTTTCCTCTTAAGTGTTTCACTAACAAGACAAAAGGATGAGCCACGTTTGCTGTCACACCACCTTCCTGGTGTCTCCCAGAAGTGGGGAAAATACAACATGAGACACATCCTTCTGCCACCTTATGGGCTCCATGGCATGGCCCTGCAGTTACACAGAGGATCTTTCTGTCCTTTTCTCTGTGTTGTATTTAGCACATCCTTTTTACACAACAGTATGAAGCACACATTACTCTTTGAAGTGTAGGTGCCAGAGCCTGTCTGGCAGTGCCTCTTTGTGAGCTCAGTGGGAAACCAGAAGTGAAAAACTCACAGGTGGACAAATGTGATAAATCTTTAACTGCTTACTTTTCATGTGTCCCAGAGTACTACCACTGTTTTCTGTTGCCTGCTCAAAGACCCTGGGGTGTGAGCACCTTATGGACAGGATTAAATTCATTTCACAGTGTCTTGGGGATGGCTCAGGCACAAAGAGCTACTATCAGTACCTCTGTCGCACTGACACTGGGCAGAAAACTGAATTCAGACTTCCTGAGTGCCAGCAAATGTCTTCATCCCAAGACCATCTGTCTCCTGCTTCCCCCTTTTGCTCTTCCCCTACTGTGAGTGGGAAGGCCATTCCTGCCCCCTGCCAGGGAAGCCTGTTGTTGCCTGCTGACCTTACCTGGCATCATCAGGGTTCAGCCCTGAACGGTGCTCTGTGCAGCAATGGGTGCCCCTGCTGTGACTGAGGTCTCTTCCTCTCCCTGTACTAGCAGACACTGGGCAGGGAGCGCTAAATCATCCACATAGTCATTCTTCCATTGGCCTTAGTGTTCTGCTTTTGTTTTGCTAACTTTGTGTCTGGGAGAGTGCTGTTGTGTTACAGGCACTGGGATGCCCAGTTCCCTGGGACTTGTCAAAGCCACACACCAGAGTCAAGCTGACAGTAGTCTTTTGCACTCTTTTCCAAAAGTTAAAATACTGAAGAATAGACAGGAGGGAAATGTGTCTGCTTGAGAGAAGAGATGGCTTGGCAAGGCAGAGATGGCACACCAGCTCCTGAGCACTGCAGTGCTGAGGGGGCTCCCATGGGTGTTCAGTGCCACTTTGCCCAAGAGTTTACATCCTCAGGCTCAGCAGGACATTTTACAGGGGCTGCCTGTGCTGAAGGCTCTTGCAAGCTAAAAGCTTATCAGCTGGTGTCTGTTCCTAGGACAGGGTCCTAGTGCAATGTCTCTTTGCAGTCCCTGATCAGATCCTTAGGTACGCTTGTTTGTATTTTAAAGTGTGAATTGCCAGTCTTTCCTTTACATTTGAGGTGTCAGCTCCAAAGTGAATGAAAGCTGACAGGCTGTGGGCCTAGAAATAACTCCTGTGAAAACTGTCCCTTTACTGCTGTTCCCTGACCTGCTCCCCTGCTGTAGCAGGCACTGCAGCTGGAGAGATTGCCCTGGTTGTGCCTGGGGAAAGGAAGGGAAGCTCCTGTTTTCCTGTGAAAGAGCCTTTGCAAGGTTTTGACTAGGAGGGAGTCTCTGACAAACCTTGTTCCCCTAAATGTCCCAGAACCACTTGAATGGGATTTTGAAACTGTTCTGGACTCGTATCCAGGGCTCAGTTATCAACCCCCCCACCATTCCCAGGGGTTACCAAGAGGTCTGTATCCCTCCTTTCCTGAATTCCTCCTGTCTTGCAAGCACTACATTTCTTTTGTTTTTTTCATCAAGGCAGTGCCACATCCTCACAGATAGACAGTCATCAACCCAGACAGCCAGGGCAGTCTGAGATGTGAACAGCCTCTTGCTGATAGTGGAATCGAGCTAGAAGAAAACAGTACTGTTACCTGTTTTACCAGTATCCCACGTCTTTCCTATTTTCAGATCAGCATCTTCATGACTCACCTGTCCAACTATGGGAATGACCGTCTGGGACTGTACACTTTTGAGAGCCTGGTCAAGTTTGTGCAGTGCTGGACCAACCTTCGCCTGCAAACATTGCCCCCTGTCCAACTTGCGAAAAAGTACTTTGAAATCTTTCCCCAGGAGAAAAATCCCTTGTGGCAGGTGAGAAGGCAGCTTTAACAGCTCCTAGGGGTTTTCCAAGAGGTATGTCCCACGTTCAGTGTGGCAAGACTGCTGATCCAGAGCACAGAGGACTAACGCACAAGGCTTTTAGGTTTAACCTTTGTGGCTTGAGGCTACAGGTGGCAAATTACAAGGTGGAATGGATGGGGAGAAGGACACAGTCAAAGTGTGAGCTTAGGGACAGGGATGGCTGTCATAAGTGACTGGGGGGCAGGCTTGCAGGCATTTGGGTCATTAAAGGGCTTATATTAGAGTAAGCTGCCCTGAAATGTTAAGTGTTTGAGGAAGAACCATGTTTGGTGCTGGAGGAGCTTGCAGGCATGTTAATGTGATTAATCTTAAAGTAATTTCACACTGCAGAATTCATGTTCATTAAATAAAAACATGCTTATTCCATTTTATCCCAGTGCAGCAGCTCTCTGCATGGTGATGAGCAGATGAAATTAACTGAAGGTGATAGAGTTGTCTGTCTGCCAGAAGTTCACAGATGCTGAGCTGTACTATCATGGTGGCCCAGCCCAGCGTGGCTACATAGGGCAAGGCCTGTGGTTAACACTCTCAGAGGGACTTTGGCTCATGTGTCACTTTGGAGCTTTTGAAAACATTCCCTGTGTTTTTACTTAACTCTTCTTGATGTCTGGCAGAGCAGCAGTGTGGCTGTGAAGTGTTCTTCATATGCTAATAGCGCTTTCCCAAGAGGGCTTGCCTTCCAGCTTTTCCTCCCCTTTCCGTTAGCTCCTGTGGTAATGCTTAATCCCATCACTTGTGCTGCAGAATCCCTGTGATGATAAGAGGCACAAGGATATCTGGTCCAAAGAGAAAACATGCGATCGACTCCCCAAGTTCCTCATCGTGGGACCTCAGAAAACTGGTAACGTGAATACTTTTCTAAAGATAAGATTGCAGCTTCCATCTCATTCCTCCAGAGAGGAGAGCTGGAAAGGTCTGTGTTGTAGATCTGTATGGCTGCCCTTTGTGCAAGCTGCCAAATGGCAGCAGAGGACATTTCAGAGAATCTCAGATTTGTTTTAACCTAAATCTGGCGAGTCTGTCAGTACTTTGCACCCTGGCACTTTGCTTGCCTCAATCCTGATTTGCAGAGAAAAGCCCTGGCTGCAGAGTTGTGTTTTGGCTTTTCCACGTAAGCTCAGACCTTAGTGTGTCACAAACATAAGCTGTCAGCAGGACTAAACACACACATTTAGCAAAGGTTACGATGAATGCCCCCCGGTGCTTTTATTGCGACAGATCTGTGTGCCCACTGTGTGCTCCATGTCACTGTCAGTGGGAGGTAGAGATCATCTTTTGTCTGACCTCTTAACTGCTGTGGCATTGCGGTTGGCAGTGACACTGCTGTATGTACTGTACTGAGGAGTCCCTTCTAGGCTAGAAGGACTCCTCAGTACAGTTTGGCTGAGAGATTTTGCTCTCTTCAGCCAAAGCCAGGTCTTCAAACCTTGGCTTTCTCTGGAGTGCAGTGAAACAGCAGCCACCAACCATTCACAGCAAACAGTGATCCCAGCCTTGGGAGAAAGCCATGCTGCTGTCTCCTGCCTGTGTCACTTTGAAGTTCTATTGGTGTGTGTGCAGCATGAGCCTGCCTGTATCTTGGCCCAAGCTGCCTGCAGTGGCACAGTAAGAAAACCCTCTCCCGGCTGATTTATCTGTGTGCTGAGCAGGATTATCAGGTTTGGCTGGGTAAAGGGAAAACACCTACAGCAGCGGCAGGCTAGGTTGTCCCTAGCACATCTCCTTCCCAAACATGTGATGCTGTCCTGCAGTGCCCAGGCCACCTCCCGTTGGGCAGGTATGGGTTCTGCCACATGACAGTGTGGCTGTGCTGCTAGGGAAAAAGAGGCATGGGGGTTGCCAGCATGGGTGACAGCTGTCATGCTAAGGAGGTGGCATAAATCAGCTGTATGAGCTGAAACATGGGATGAACTGCTCAGTCACGTTCAATCCCGAAGTGCTTGCTGTCACTGCTGTTGTAACCTGCATGAGTTAAGGGGTGCGTTAGCCACACGTGACAGGAGTGTGCCCATCCGGGGACTGTTTTTTTGCAGTGCAGGTAAAGCCTTTCATTCAGGCAAGCATTATGTGTGACCCAGGTTCCTGTTAACTGGTTCCTGTTGCAGGCACAACAGCTGTGCACTTCTTCTTGACCATGCATCCAGCTGTCACTAGTAACTTCCCAAGTCCATCCACCTTCGAGGAGATCCAGTTTTTTAATGGACCCAACTACCATAAAGGAATTGATTGGTAAGAACCCTGACACGTGTTCTTCTCTAATAATGTGTCTTCTGCTGAGTCTCTGTATGTCCACCTCAGCTGCCTGAGTAGCATCTCTATTTCTGAACAGCTGTTTTCATTGCTGTTGCTCAGCTCATGTTCTCCATTTTCCTGCTAACCCAACTGCTTAGTCCCAGGAGCAGGACAGGTAGTTTCTGATTTTACTGACTGTTCACCAGGAGACTTGTAGGCATGACTTAGCTTTAAAAACTGAGACTTTGTTGAATGTACTGCTGTCATGCCGTTTCTTTTCCTTTGACATGCAAAACAGGCGACAGTGTGCTCATTAAAAAGTTCCTCATGGTTTCAGAGTTAGGACACATAGTACAGAGGGGACAACCTCCCTACTGTTGTCCTGGGCTCTTCAGACTTAGAGCCATCACTGCATTCCTTGCACTGGCTCCAGTGTCCACATGTGTACCTTGGTCTTTACCTGTAAAAGTATGCAATTACCATAAAATGCTGCCACCTGACAGGGCAATTCTAGTGTCACTGTGGCACTATTATGCCATTATGTTTCCAGGCAGAGAAGTTTCAAAGGTGTTTCTTGCTCAAAGCATTAACTTCAGGTCGCCTGTGGCACTGCACCCCCTCCTGCATGGCTCTCAGGGACGGCTGTGTGGCAGTAGGGCATTCTGCCATGGGATTTCTTTGCCCCTGAGCTATGGGAGATTTTGTCTGACTTCTCTGATCATCCGTTGGTACTTGAGCGAAGCTCACACGAGTCAAGCAGTACAGAGCAGTTGCACTAGCTGACAGATAGGCCTAGAAAGCCTAGGCCTTTATGTGCATCCCCTGGAAAAGTCATCCAACTTGATTTGAGCGTAGCATCACATGCAAGAGGAGAATCTTTGCGTTTAGCATAGAATTTGAGTTTGTTGTACAGCTTACATTTCAGCAGAGACCAGTCTTCCAGTGCTTTACAGTGCCCTGTCCCCCCATTACCCTACCCTCTACCCTACCATTACTCAAATGTCTTGCAGTTTCCTCATTACTAATTTGACAAGCTCCTGTGAGGCAGAGCAGAGTGCTTTACCTGGCATCTCAGCTACGGACTGAGGTACAGAGAGACAAGTGACTTAGGTGGGTTTAAACAAGCGGTCGGTGGCAGGACAGGCAGCTGATTCTGACCTTACTCTTGGACAAAACCTCTTTTCTGCTAGAGCTTGTAACTAGTATTGTACCCTCAGCCTATTCCTTCCACTGCCCAAGGACTTGGGGAAACACTCTCAGCAAAATACTTTCTTACCCTTTTATCATCTCCAGCTTTCTATGTCGTGCTCCACCACCCCCTTCTGAGCCATGCCTCTGCCAGCTCTGCGCCCATTTGCCCATTCATTGCAGTACTGGGGAGGTGCAGTTGTTCCACGAACTGTGTCTGTTGAAGAGGAGCAAGGGCATCACTTTGTCGTGTGCTGTTTCTTTGTTGGGCCATGCTGCTCACCAGAGTCCCGTCTGTTCGGCAGGTACATGGAATTCTTTCCCATCCCTTCCAATGCCAGCACAGACTTCATGTTTGAGAAGAGTGCCAATTACTTTGACACAGAGGTGGTACCAAAACGTGGTGCAGCCCTGCTGCCTCGAGCCAAAATCATTACTGTTCTGATCAACCCTGCTGACCGAGCCTATTCATGGTACCAGGTAACTTCCCTGCGCTGGTCCGCGGTTGAGGGCCAGACAGATCTTCCAGTGGGGTGAGGCAGCAAGCCCAGGGCAGCAAGCCCACGGATCCGTTTCCAGAGCGGGGCTGGAGGACACTATGTAGGCTGCCTGCGCGGTGCGGGCAGAGTTACAGAGGCATTGGTGGGTGGTTGTGCCGAGTCAGTGGGGTCTGCACAGAGATGTGTAAGGTGGACTTTTGTGTTCCTGCTCCTAAGTTCAGCTTGTTTTTCAGCACCAGCGTGCTCACAGCGACCCTGTGGCGCTTAATTACACCTTCTACCAAGTGATCTCTGCGAAATCCCAGGCCCCTCAGGAACTGCGCAACCTGCAAAGCCGATGCCTGCTCCCTGGCTGGTATTCAACTCACCTAGAGCGCTGGCTAACATACTACCCCTCGGGGCAGGTAGGAGGTTTGGGAGTAGAGGCTCTTGTGGCGCTCCTTGTAGGTTTAGTGGAGAACAGAACGAACTGTAACAAGGGCACATGCTGCCACCCCGTGCCCTGCATGGTCTTCCTTTGACCTCCTGGCTTGTCTTTTGGAACAAGAGCCACCACTCCAGTTATGAGTCAATAAGAAATCAGGCTTGACTACTCCAATTTCGTACTTTGCTGTATTTGTAAAAGTAAATGAGTGCAGCAGGATACTGTGATCTCCCAGAGAGCTTCACAATATTGAGAAGTTCAGGAAGAACTGCAGTGTTGGCACTCCCTTCCTTTCATCTTGGCAGCCTGCAGCCCAGGGGCCTTCTTCAGGCCCAGTAGGTGTTCAGCTACTTGCTGCAGTTTCATTGCTTGAGAGAGGTGCTCGGACTCTGCCACTTGTTAGTTCCTGTGTGGTGGAGCCTTTAGCTGTCCGCTGAAGGGAAGTTTCACTGCAGAGATGTCAGGATTCTGTGTTTTGTGTATAAATTTGCAAAAAGTCAATCAATAGACAATATAAACCATTACTGTCTCTGAATTCCCAAGAAATTTAGAAACTGTCTAATACAGTGTGAGTCAGGACATGTTTTTTCAAGTTCCTTTCTGCTGCTGGCGTTATCCTCAGTCTATGATCCAGCAGAGGCTTATAATGCCCATTTAGGCTCTTACTCTCTGCCAAAGGATCAGCCTAAACTGTGCATGACAGACCTGCCAAGACTAAGAGGACTAAGAGAGACATGGAAAAACATTCTCGGGCTTGTATCTCATTGCCGTACTATTCCTGGAGGTTACTGCCGTGGGGAGTGACAGAGCCAGGCATGCCATCTTGGTACTTAGTGTGGGTCAGGGCCTCCTACCTTCCCCAGCCTTCAGTTCACGGGACTAGTTTTCTGTTCTGTTCTTTGGAATAGGTAATTTATTAGCACAACTGGTGTTCATTATTGTCTACTATACATGTAACAGGAGAGTAATTTTAGGTTACAGAAGCCTACTTAGCACAATGGCTGCTGACATCTAAAAAGAGTACGTGAGGTTTCCAGAGACAATCTGTAAGTCATGCTACTGCTGGGCCTTAGTGCTTAGTCACGGGGGTTGGCCAAAGGCTTTGTTAAGCAATGCCTGTCATGACCTCCTGTTTTGTGGTACTTGTGGCCCTCATCGTAACGTCTCTTATCTGGTGACAAACAGGCCATGTCGCCCCACCATGTTCCTCTACAATGAACGGGCTTTGGCAGCCTTTACTCACACCCACAAAGGTCAGGGGCAGTTCTGAGCTCCAGCAGGCTCATGGGTGTCATTCAGCACGAGCTGTCAGAGGCTAAGGTGGCTGCTGTCCTTTCAGCTTCTCGTTGTGGATGGTCAGGAGCTGAGACACAACCCTGCCTCTGTAATGGACAACATCCAGAAGTTCTTGGGAGTTACACCACTCTTCAACTACACCCAGGCCCTCAGGTAGGGAAATCGGTTTTTTTGGGAGGTCGCTTTCTTAGCCAGGTGTGATACTAATAAACACTTGACTGGCAGAATACTTCTTATCGCTGACTACAAGACCTGCCAAGGTTTCAGAGGTACGCCTAACCCTAAAACTAGGTTCAGATAGTATGAGGTACTATGCTGAGACTGGAATCATAGCTTCGTCTTTCCAGAAATGACAGGCAAGGAGTGTTCCTTGGCACTGTCATGGAGAAGCATGAAGTTGCTCATGGCAGCAATTAGGATCTTTTCTATTTGGTCTTTGCAGTTTCAGAAAAGGTGCTGGAATTATTAGGACTCCTTATGTGCTGCATTATACCTACAGCTGACAGAAAGTAGAGGAGGTATGATAAAACAATGTGTGACAAGCTGCTCATATCTTCAACCAGAGGGAGATTAGGAACACATTGCACAGTTTTCAGGTAAAGAGCCTGTTATTACGGAAGACATGGACTTGACAGGTGTCCAGAGCTACCTGAGGCACTAACTCGGTGCTACTAAGCTGAAGGATGTTACCTGCCCACAGCACAAGTTCAATTAACCTGAATAGCATAAGTGCTAGTGGAAACTCTGCAAGTCCACTGTAGATCCTGAATATTGTTCTGTGCAGCTGAAACCTGTGTTTTCATGTCATCTCTGCTATGGGGTGATGGTAAGTGGACTGTTTACAGTAGTGGTACTGGCTGGACCCCAGTCAGCCAGGGTCAGAAAATAAATGGTATTGGTCAGCTTGCCTCAGAGTGTGGTAGAGGTACTTGCTCAAACCTCAAGCTGACCTTTGGCCAATTGAGGGGACATGACAGACCAGACCCAGACATGGTTCCCAGCATTGCCTTATACCTGTGTTTTAGGAAGGAAAGAAACACTGAGTCTTTAAACGGTCGTGTCTCTAATACTGCTCAGCTATAACAAGGAGATTTAAAAGAATCTATATATGCTAAAACATTATTATCCACCCCCGCACCCTCTCCCACCTTAACAGACAAGCTGTAACTCCATGTTACCTCTGAAATTTGCATAAAGCTGAAACAGTCACGGTTGTAATGGATTTCTTGTCAAAGTACTCAAGTGCTAAAAAAAAAAAAAAAAAACAAACCAAAACAACCAACCAATACTACAAATAAATAAAACCCAAACCCAATTTGTAAAGCACTGCAATGGGAAATACCTGTGGGTTACTTAATTACTGCTGCTACTTATTGGGCATGTGGACATAACTTTTAAAGACAAGTATCCTTTTCAGATATGATGAAGCGAAAGGATTTTGGTGCCAGCTGCTAGATGGAGGAAAGACTAAATGCCTAGGAAAGAGTAAAGGAAGAAAATACCTTGATATGGATTCCTCGGTGAGTAACTGTCTTAGATCTGTTGGCAGCAAGAGTTGCAGAAATATCCCAGCAAACCAACCTGGATTTTCCTAGCATCTGCGTCCTAGGTGACCTATGGAGCATGTGCTGAGGGTAACATTTTGTTTCACACTAATGCGGTCTGTATTTTTCACACAGTCCCGGCTGTTCCTAAGAGACTTCTACCGGGAGCACAACATGGAGTTATCCAAGCTGATGAACAGACTTGGGCAGCCCCTTCCAACCTGGCTCCGAGAGGAACTGCAGAACTCCAGCTGGAGCTGAGAGGGACTCCCTTGCCCCCAGTGCCATTGGGATGTGTGGTGCTCTGACGCATGCTATGATGCCATCTCTTGTCAAGCCAAAACAATGGGACAAATGAGCAGGAGCAGAGAAGGTGCAGGTGGAGCCTTCCCCCCGCCCCGGGGCAGGGGTGCTGCGTGTGCAAGTCACATTCTTGAGTATTAACAGTGTGTTACACTTGGACTTTTGCTTACAGGAAGGCTTTGGAATGCCTGCTCTGCTCTGAGCAGGGGAGGGAGCACAGTTTTAACACTTGGTTTAAATTAGTCTCCTCAGTATATGAAATGGGCACTAGCTGGAGGGTTAACGTGTTACTCCTCTGAGTCCAGAAGTGAAGACTTAAGAGGCAAGCTGCTCTTGACCCCACTGCTGAGAAAAGAGCAGCAGCTTAATAAAAAGGGAAGCTAGTCCAGTGAACCCCAGCTTTTATCCAGTCGTCTATGTGGCAACAGCAAGGTACAAGAACACCTTGTTCCTCCCCCTGCAGGGTGCAGCAGGCATGATCATTACTTACAGTGCCACTGTGCGTGGCTGTTGGGGACTGCGCTTTCTTGGAGACAGAGGCAGTAGACATAAGACTTCCTCTCCCTATCTGCAGCACTGTTGGGGTGATAGAGCATCCAGTGACTTTGGTCAGTGGGCAGTTGGAGATAAGGCAAAGCTGCAGCTATTGACATGCAGAATTGATTTGTTATCTTAGGGAAAATACAGGGTGAGTATTTCTGTGCAGGGACTTCAGCCATTTCAAAAGATAACCAAGGAGCAGTATGTCCCCTTAGAGCACTTTGGAGGCATGTGCTAGTGCAGCACAGCAGCTGGGGGAGGCAAAGCTCAGGTATTGTAAAAAAAGGCTGATACAGCTGACTTCATTCCCCATGTTTGATCAGCTTAAAAAAAAAAAAAAAGGCCAACATTTTTCTCTTTCCAACAGCTCCAGGGCATCTACCACACATGCTGATAGCTAGCACCTGTTTTAATCCCCTTGCAGTCCAACAATCCAAGGAAAAAAGCAAAATACAGTTATAAGTAAGTATCATTCAGATGTAAGGGGAAGGCTTGGATTTAGACATGGTTTCCTGTGTCCAAAGGGGCTGTTTAGTTTACTGCTTCTGCACGTAGTCAAGTAAGTACACTAAGGTGCTTTGCCTCTTCCTGCAGCTGCTAGGTAAATATTCTCAGAGGAAACCCTCCACCATGGTTGTACATGTTTTCTGTCGCTGAGCCAGGGGCTGCTGGAGTTTGTGTGGGCCACCTTCCCTCCCTCCCAGGCACAGGTGGTCCCTGGAGAGTGCTGCAGTTCCGGAGAACAGGAGGGCAGGACCTGTACAAACACAGGTTATAGAAACATCCACAACTGTCATGAGCTCCTTTTCTCCTATCCAGAGAGAAGTTGCTTCCACCAAGCTTCTCCATTGAGCCTTAGGTATTATGTTTTTCTGAATGAATGGTGCATTTACTGTTGTATGTAAGTGTATATAGTATGCAATATAGTATTTTATTTCATGTGCCCTTGGAAAGGGTTATTCTGTGCAGCCAAAAAAAAAGGACAAAGACTAGAAACCCCTCTCTCGCTCCTGGTAGAGAGAAGAGCCTGACTTCCTGCACTGGATTCATGTATAGCGTCATTCACATTGAATGATAATGAAGAAATTCTTGGCTCTCGAAGCTGAGCACAAGTGTCTAAATAAAGGCTAGAAGTAGTAGTAAGTGGAGATTCAATAAATGTACTACTTATTTTTCTTCTTTGTGATGATTTGGTGTGATATCATGGACCCTAAGCTGGCAGAAGGGTAAGAATAACTGAAAAACCTACTCCAGGCCTTACAGCTGATATCTGGGAGGGCAACAAATGTGTTTAACTTACGTTTCTAATGACACAGAACCAGTGGTCCAAGGCTTCTTGCTCTGCAAGTGCAGCTGTAGGCTTGCAGAAGCTGGCACAGTACCCAGCCTGTAGCAAGCGACTCATTCTTACTGGTTTGCACCAGCGATGACTTGGGCCATACCTGGCTACTGCAGTGGCTGCTGTGCCACAGCAAGAGCGTGTGGCTGTGCCCCTCCTGTCCAGCTGTGCCCCTCCTGTCCAGCTGTGCTCCAGTGCCTGGCCTGGGCCAGCAGCCCACAAGCAGACCTACAGTAATAAGCAGCCTTACCTTGATCTGGCAGCAAACCTTTGTTTAAATAGTCATGGTTGTGGCGGCACTACAGAACAGCCGTGCGGCTCTCGCTTCACCCAGCACTTCAGAAATAAATGCAGCAGCAGCCAAGATGATGTTTTCACCTCCTGCCCCAGGAAGATCCCAGTACCAACGCTACTGATCCTCCATTAAACCATTTCCTGCTCTTAATGCATTACAGGTTGTCACTCACTCACACAATTACTTCATGCTTTACGTCAGACTATGGTGTATCTCTGAGGAGATGGGATTTAAACATTAAGAAATAATCAAGGTACCACGGATAAATGTTGGGAGGGGTTCGCTAACTGTCAGGGTTAGTTTACCAGTGATAGTCCTTCACTCAAGGCAGCAAAGGGCAGCTGTCTTTTCATTATTTATTCTTTCCCTCCCCCCAAATTGCTTTATTTCTAGGCTATGCTTGTTCTTACTGCTTATGCTAATGGCAAACAAATCACTTGCTGTGGTCAGATCCCAGTGTGGGATGTCCTTACCTGACCTAGCTGATGGAGAGTCATTTTCAGATCTGGTAACCCTCTGACAGCATGTTGCTGCAGAAATTACCCTCTTTCCAGCCATCCCTTCAAAGCTGTGGAAACAAACACCTGCTCCTAAGAGAAGCTCTTCTAACATCAGAAGCCAACAAAAAAACACCTTTTAGCAGGAGATACACTGGTTACTGACCCATTAGGCACTTACTTACTTACACATTATAGACCCGAACACTTCCTTTGGATAGTGGAAATAATAAGCCTCATCTTACCTCACTGTTTAGTAACAACAAACAGAACCACGGTAAGAGCTCATTTACTTAGACAAGGAAAATGGTGAGCACAAAATATTACCTGAAAGCTTTCTGTACTGTATTAAAACTATTTTTGTAGTCTGATACATAGGGAAGTGACCCATTTAAAAAGGAGTCATTTGACCAAGTGTCAGAAAGGCTCCTGCTACTCTATAGAAGTGGATGGGTGCATGAAGGGTAAGAATTCATGAAACAAACAGAAGGAAACAATTTTTTTCCCCCTGAAAAGAGAGAGACACACACACACCCCAACCCCCAATAACCTCAGAAAAGAACGCTCAGTCTATGAAGCTGGAACTTCTCCTTACACACAACCTCTGGAATTCAGTAGCAGGAAAACACTTCAACATAGGCTGCTACCTCTTTCTATGGGGTACAGGGAATGCTGGTACACGTCTCAACTATAGGGTAAAGACCTTTTATTGGGGACTGGGAGACTTTCTGTGTAGGTGGCAGCATGTGTCAACTCTACATAGAAATCTGACTGCTGAAGATGCAGTTTTTAGCTGTTGACAGCACTGCATATTCCTGGCAGCAGCCTGCAGCTCCTGGAAGTCAGAGTGCCACACAGGAGTCTAGCTCTGAATCTAACAAGGAGCATGCTCAAACTCATGCTGCTGTTTTTCAGCCCTCCCACTCAGCTAGTAAGAGAATCCTTTTGATTCTCTGCTGGTGATTTTGCATCAGTAGTAACATAGCAAGAAAAGCAATGAGCATGCCCAATGAACCCAAAACAAATTGTTCATCCCCTTCGCTGAACCCTATCTCCTGGCTGACTCACTGCAGCTGTGAGCAAGATGCCAAGACAGCGGCTAACACACACGCACGCGCACACACACCCCCCCACTCTCCCACACGCGTGCACACACAGACACATTTGCAGCAGGCTGCCTCAAGCCAGGAGTAGTAGCTCCCATCACACAGGAGGACATGGATTGAGAACTGGTACCTCCTCTCCAGTTACCAGGGCTTTACCTACAGTTTGTTTCTTTCCCCTTTTTTTTTTTTTTTTCTTAAAGGCTTATGAGGGTGAAAAGAAAAAAAAAAAAACACCACAAACCAAAACCAACCATAAACACTGAGTCTTGTTAAAATTAGGAACTAATGTTTGCCTCTGGGAAGCACTTTGCAAGCTGGTATTGGTACAAAAAAAATTATTCCTGACAGCTCACTATTCAAGACCGATGTAGAAATAATTTATTAATCAATCCATTGTTGTCTTTAAAGAGTAGTTGTCTGCTATGACTTGATTTCTCCCCATTCTCATCTATCTAGTCTTACCAACTCTCCAGTCTCTCCACAATGCTTGTGGAGATTCAGCAGGTCCATAATGGTGACACGGCCCGAGCAGTCTGAAAACCAGCTGACATTTATTTCAGTTAAGGTAACAGGATCATAGATCAGGCTGGTCTCAGAACCCCCCAAAGCCACTGGAAAAGGTGCATTTCAGGACTGACTTACTTAAAACAACGCATTGACATTAAGGCCCTACAGCTGCCCTTTAAGCCCTGAACTTCCTGACAGAGCAGCTCTCCTGGCTGACTTAAATGAGGCAAAGCAGGACACTGAAGGGAACTGTGGGGCCCCAGTCCCCCTTCATAGTGCATGCAATCTATGTACGGTACTATCCACACTAGAGTTTTAATGCATTTCTCACTCCTTATAGCTCATGTCCCCTTCACGGCACCAAAGGAATTGTGCAGTGCAGCCTGTGCAGTATTACATAGTTACAAAGGCTGTAACTGCGAGCAGGCACCAACAAGGGAGGAGAGAAAAAAAAAAAAAGAAAAAAAAAAGTCACTTGCTTACAGAGCACAGTCCCTGTCTTTCTACTAGCAAGAAACGCTACACGGCAGTGAAGGTGCCTTCTGGCTGCCCACATGGCTTGTGTTTGGCCATTGCCCTGAGACCAGCATTAACGAGTCCCAGGCTCTATGCACAGAATAGCCCCAAGCTGCACTTCCAGCTTTCACAGCTTAATGCTGCTCTTGGACAGGTGCTGCACTGCACTAACCCAGCTGCAAGTACCCTTAAAATGGAAACAGGAAGCAGAAATAAGTTCAAAAGCCACATTTGAATTGTGCTGGGGAGTCAGGGGTGGGCAGTGTGAGGTGAAGTAGTTTTAAAAAAAAAAAAAAACAAAAACAAAAACACAAACACAAAAAGGTAGTACTATTTGAGAAAGACCCTCTTTACCATAATTGAGTCACATGGCACTTAAATTCAGGCACAGAAACAGAAAATGCAACATACTGTGAATAAACTGTAGTGAGGAGCTGTTCACTCTATCAGTAGGGCTTAAAAGCAAAAGTCATGCAGTGGTCGTGGTTATCAACAAATGCCCAGAAGGCCTCAGGGCCCAACCTGCCCTTTTTTCTGCTCAGTTTACAAAAGGCATTGGCAGCGGACTGTGAGCACACTTTTCTGTTTTGGCCTGCTCTCTCCCCAGGTGCATCCTGAAAAATTCATTCTAATACCCTGCCCTTCTCTTCATGTCTAGGTAAGAGAAATACAACTTCCCCAACTCCTTCAGAAAACTATTTCAAATTTACGTCACGTTATAGCTAACTGACACCAGGAGGCGTTGATAAACTTCATGGGTAAGTCAATGCTTACTCCATTTTCATTGGCCCTGGGGTTTGCAAGGCTGTTCGGTGCCCTCTAGCACCATGCAGCAATAAGCCAAGCTAGCGCTAAATAAGCAGGGAAAGTAAAAGCCTGTGTTCTGCTCCAAAATACAACAGTGCTAGGCTTGATAAAAACTGAATCCACGCAAAGACTCAGAAAACAGTTTAGGTTCAACAACTCCACAGGCGGCTATTTCTGAATGGGTTCTCAGAGAAGGAACATAACATATACCAAATAAATATTAATGGTAGTAGCAAAACACGCTTTTCAGCTAACTGCAGCCCTACCTGTTGCTAGGCACGTTGCTTCATCAGATGACAACTCCAGTTCAGTTTGTTCACGGGCCGTAAAGACCCTGAAGTACAAAGGCAAATACTTTTCTGCTAACTCACGCTACTGAAAGTGCTTCCGAAGGAAAGCGTTCACAGGCAAGAAGATGGTTGTAGGTGAACACAGAGTGAGGTCCCTAAAGTGAGGAGGGGAGCCAGCCCTCTTGGAGGCTGGCATACCTGATCTACACAGGAAGAGTATCTGTAGCATGAGATGCATTTCAAGGAATGAGGCTTGCAATGACTAAAACCATTCTTTTATCTATTCCATAAGAGCAAAAGCCACACTACCCCTCCTGACAAGCCGAATATCAAAAAGTCGATGCAATCATGGCATGTCTTCTACCAACTACAATGATGCCAAGATTTTACCCCTAAAGACTCAGCAACTATGCAAGGATCAACAGCTTAAGTTCTAGAAATGCTGCTGTCCCAGATAGAGGGTAAGAGTGCACACAGGCAAGGGGTAAAGATGCTATGTGGCCACCCACGAACATCCTCAGGGAAGGCGAGGGGGGAAAAAAGGGCCCTTACAGTACTTCACCTTTACCTTCTCCCACTCTCTCCCTTATATTTTTGATGTATGGCCCCACTGTGTGTGTGTGTATATATATATATATATATATATATAAAAAAATGAGACACAGAGGGAATCTCTATCTTTAAGGAGCTGCTTCTAAGTACCCTAACACTGGAACACCATCTGCTTTTATCTGCACGTACTGACCCTTGGACAGAGCATCAAAATGCACATCTATGCACTGTGCCAGATTGTTCAGCTGAAGCACCCACGAAACTTTCAAGTGCAGACAGCGAGTTAACTCAAAGTGCAAGGCTGCCCTTAGCACACTGCCCTAAGACTATTAAGCACTTCAATCTTCAGCACTAGCAGGACAGTGAAAACCAGCCTACAGGCATCTTGCAGTAAAGACATCAGCCACTTCTCAGCTGGCTTCATCTGCACCTGTACAACTTTGACTTCTCCAACTCCCCACTGAAGTGAGCTGTTATTTCCAGAGATGCTAACAGCTAAAAGGGAAAGTATATTTCCTGTGCTCACAAGAGGAAACAAATCTGGCAAGTAAAAGCAAGTCACTGTGAGCAGAGGATGAAGTAAGCAGTCTAAAGACCTCATTCATCTTGCCTTCAAGGAACAGACAGTGAATTAGACTTCACCAAATGTGACAATAAACCATTGCAAGGTCTCCTATCTCAGAATTACCTGTCTTCGTGCAAGTGGGGGCCAGGCCCTATCCACACAAATACCTGTAGCTATTAGTACTGACTAAATTCAGCATTTGCTGCCCAGCCTGGGAAGAGGTGGTAGCCAACACAGAAAACAGCTTCTCGGCCATGTAAAACCATTTCTACACTGGAAGAGCTCTAAAGCACCCAGCTGCTATGGCAGCTGGCCTTCACTGCAGCCAGTTCATGTGTTGCTGGTAAGGGCAAGGACCTAGAGAACATTTACTCTAAGTGAATAAACACAGAGGTTAACTGAAAGCCAAAGGAAATTTGAGTTGGCTGTGACCTCTGCTCTTTTACAGGTCTTCTGCTGAAATATCTTTTCAGAATTTCTGAGCCTATTATTTTCCCCACTCCTGGAATAACTAATAAGACTGCACTGAGTAATAAGTTTTCTGCTTTAACAGTAGATAAATGTTTCTGGGGCCACCAGGGCTCATCTCAACTCTTACAAAAGAAAAATACCTCAAGAACCTCTCAGCCACATGGCAACAAAAAACATTGTTGTCTCCTTTCTTGCTTCCTTTCTCCTGTCCTTGCTCAGATATATTTCCATGGGATACATCTCAGGAACAACAACAGATTAACAGATGCAGAGATCCAGGACTGAAAGTGTGTTCTGGGAGACCTGAATAAACGAGTGTGCAGCACCTCCACACAGCTCCCATCTCCATCTGCTCACTCTGAGGAATTTTTTCAGAGGAAAAGACTGGGAACTTCTGAAACTACCAGCCTGTGCCTCATACCACTGAGCTGCTTGTTCAGTCAATGTCAGCATGTGTTGAGATTCCCTGGCTCTTGCTCTGTTTGGGCTCTGCAGCTGCTGGAAGACAACTCTGACAGGGTCTGTCATATGGAAGCACTGCAATCTGTATGAGGACCGGAATGGGTAAAATAACCCAAGAAAGTTTTGAGCACAGTGAAAGATAACAGGCATTGCGATTTCTCTTCTCTTCCAGCCTTTGTGGGGACAACGCAGAAGGAAAGCGAGTACACTTCCAGATAAAGCCCATTCTAACCTCACGGTAAGCAGCTCCACTGTGTTTTCCCAAAACAAAGATACTGGTGACAATGCTCTCGCGCTCCTGGTGTTTTTTAATTATAGGAGTCTGAAAACTTGCCTGCTCAGGGTCTAAGCACAGTCTTTTAACAGATACCACAGATAAGGCTCTGCCATTTCATTTCCGTAGTCAGTCCAAATCCTCAAGGCAGTAACAGTCACTTCTACTCCTGGTATTTAACACATTCAGCTCTTCTGCCCATTTCCTTTCTGCTTCTTTCCTTTTAGAAGATGCTCCCTTCTCTTCCCTTAATTTTCTCCTATAAGCAGTAGAAAGGAAAATATTAGGCTTTATTAGAAAACTCATTTTTCTCTAAACTCCTTTCCCAGTTCTGAATGTGCAAGAACCAGAGAACACAGAAAGTGCTCCAAGAACCCCAGCCTTCCAGGCATCAGCACTCTCCTTTCAAACCCAGTTTTGCCCAGTAACAGGCAGCTCAGTAACACAGAGCTTAGTTTAAAAACCACAAAACTTAACACGTTCTTATGAACATCAGCATTTATAATTAGCACGTAACTAGACACCTTAAGGGGAATACAAGGTGCTTAAGGAGATCTTAAATAGTTACTGTTGCACAATAAGAACTAGAGGAACCCCAGTCACGCTCTCTGGCCTGTGCAGTGCACAAAGTCAAACCAAAGGAGCCTGTTCATCTGTTTTGCCCTTTGCCGATGAGTGAGATTGTTTATTTTTCAACAGTATTATTGAAAATATCAAATACAAACAGGCATATATTTCTAGCTCGCAGAAACTAAAAGCTCTCCATTGTCATTGGCTAAATCCAAGTAAGAAGCAAAATACATTACCACTGAGAAACTGGATTTTTAATATCCATCAATCATCTGACTCCCAGCTTTAAAAGCCCTGAAATTTATGAGCCTATATGCTTTAAATTTCCTTGGCATAAAAATAAAACCTTTTAAAATTAATTTTCTGCAATGCTGTCCCTATCGGATATCTGGCACAGTCCACCAAACATCTCTGTAAGTGCAGAGGAGCAGACCACTAGCCCTCTTTAACAATTACATCAAGGGTGAGCAGCTACTGTTTTGCACGATACTCTGGAAATACAAAGCCCTGCATTACCACGCAATATCATTGGTGTCGAGACCAGAAAAGGAACCTGGCGGCTGGCAGACACGTAGACAGAACATCCCAGGCTTACCACCAACTCCCCTGACACCCATCAACAACACAGTCTGCACATACCTCAGCCTCTACAGAACATCACTCTGAGAGCACTACCAGGCAAGAACCCTTTGGCTAACAGCTTGTGTGAAAACTCTGGCCACCTGGCTTGTGCTGGACTGCTGTTCCCCAAGGCAGGGCAGCTATCTACCAGGGCTCACAGGAGCTCCCATCGACACACAGCTGGCCATCTCTGTCAGACTGTCAACATCATAGCAGAGAGGAGAGAGAGTCAGTCTAAGAAAACGAGTGTTTAATCAGGAAACGAGAAGAGACAGGGATAAGAAACCGATTACAGGAGAGTAATACCCCAGCCAAAAGAAACACGATTGTACAATTCGGAACAACCAGGATCAAAACATCCTATGAGCCAGCAGTGCCCAGTGAGGGACACTCCTGAGAAAGAGCCCAAGCGCTTCTGGAAGTCACCAGGCAGCTCAGCGCAGTCATGGACTCTTGACTGCCCAAGCTCCAGCCTCTGCCCTCAGCAGCTGCTGCAGAAAGCCGCAGAGGTGGCCCTGGCCCTGCTACTCCAGCCTCAGCTTCTCTCAACAGGAGGTGCTGAAAGGAATGGAGGGAGCACTGGCTGTGCACAGCAGTCCCAGCCTCTCCCAACAGGAGATGGTGTGTGGTGTAAGAGAAGCCCATACAAAAAAAAGTTTACATATTTATAAATGCCAAAATAAATATTTAAGACAGAATCCCCCACCTCTCTAACACGTGCGTAATCACACTGCAAACTGCTCGCAGGACAGCCTCCAAGGGCTCAGGGAAAAAAGCAGTGACTACACCACAGGGCAGCCAACTTCCTTCTCGTTTTCTGATGCTTCTGGAGCCTGCAGCCCACTGAGAAGGAGGAGGAAGAGCGAGCAAAGCAGAGCGCCAACACGCAACAGTGCTGGAGAGGAATGTCATGGTATAAATACATCAGATCAGTGGTTTCCAACAAGTTAAAACTAAAATAAAAAAGACACCAGAAGGAAGGATGGTGTAAATGGAACTACAACTACATGGGGCAAAAGGTTGTGTGTCCGTGGAGCTCCACCTGCTGTCACGGCGAGAAGGTGGTCATTTCCAGAGAGACCCTTTGCCACAGCTCCTTTGTCTGCTTGCTGCGCTTTAGGTTCTGGAGAACATCATTAAACTGCATCATGCCCATGGGAGTCAGGCAGAAGGCGCTTCTGGCGCTGCGGATGGCATTCACAAAGTCATCGTAGTCAGCTGGAGTGAGATGGATCAGCCGATGATGGATGTACTGGATTGGAACAGGGAAAGAGCCTTAAGGTATTTGCTCATCACCGTCGTGCTGGTGACACTCAGAGAAGAACTCAAGAGCTCCCAGGGTGATACATCACATGATCCTGTTACCCCACGAGAGGTCCCAGGACTCAGAGGCTCTGACAGAGGAGAGCTAGCTCAAGAGACAGCAGTGCCATCTCCCACATCCTAACATAGCCAAGGCGAGTGTCCCCTCAGAGCACCAAAATGCACCACGCAGCATCAGCAGGTGTTCTCTCCTTCATGAGCATCACATTATCCCACAGCACAGCTAACGCTCTACTGCACCACCCACCAGCACCTAACCCTCCCACCATTCACTCTGCAGGTTATAAATGGGGACCCAGCACGTTCACTGGACATCTCCTTTGCTAAGGGCTATGGAAGGAGTAAGGCTTACACTAAGTTGATGCAAAATATCTCTAGGCTTAGCACTGTCGCTTCCATCAGCTTCTCAGCTAAGGCCCCAAAAACTGCAGGTCCAGCTTTTGAGAAATCCATTTCTCTACTGTAGCTCAGAAAAAGAGGTTAAGTGAAGAAGCTGTCATTTCTCAAAAACATCACCTAGGTGATAGGACAACTAATCCAACCTGGATAGTAAGACTACAGAATCATCCTTCTGGTCATTTATTCAAGAGAACTAGGTACATTTGGGGCATCCTTTAAAACAGTTTACACTGTTTTAAGGAAGCCACAGCTCTGGTACTCCAGCTGGCTTACTGAAACGCAATTGCCCCGGTTTCAATAAATCCTGAGGTGTCATCCATATTGGCTGACCAAGCCACTTCCACTAGTAGCACCAACACTGACACACCAGACAGCCATGCCAGGGCTTCATGACAAGAGGAAAACAGGCTACAAACAAGGGAAGAAAAAAAAAGATAGGCTAGAAAGGGAGGTGGACAGGGGGCTTGAAAACATAGCAAAGAGAAAGTACAGAAGTTAAATGTAGGAAGAAAGAGGAGAAGGAACACAAAACCATCTCATCCTTTGTGGTGAGCAGAGGAGGTGAGAAGTCTTGGAAGATGCAGTACCATGAGGTCCTTTGTATGCAGCCTCCATACAGGCAAGCAATGCCTATTCTAGTCTCTGCTGAGGGAGAGGCATGCATCAGGCAACGGACCAGGTCAGCTACCAGTACCCAAGGCCCCTTCCCATCTGTACACACACGCAGAGGCAGTACCTGCAAGGCAGGCAATGGCCTGGCAGCTTTGACAGGCAAGATGACAGGCTACACATTACCTGCATGTAAGCCTGCTGGCACCTCTGCACCAGCTGGTGGAAGGCTGGGGTGCGCAGGTGGTTGTGCACATGGGCAGGGTTGAGCCTCTGTAGAGCTTCCATGATGATCTCCTGTAGCACAAAAGGGCTCAGCACCCCCTTGGCTGCACCAACGCAGAACTGATGCACATAGTTTACACCTACACAGGAAGAAGTCAGAACAACAGCGTTAAGGCAAGAGACACACAAGAAATTAAGTACTTCCCAGCTAGAACCTGGATTTGAAGCACCTTCTTCTCACTGTAATGTATCCTCCAGCAGGCTTAGGCGAGATAGTCTAGCAAACTCATGGGGACAAGAGATCATCCCGATACATTCACCAGGTCTGAGCAGAGACCAGGTGCCACCTCAGTCACTGATATTCCCAGTTCATCTGTCTTTAAAAAGGGATACAAAAGCAAATTGATGTGGCAAGGTAACTACAGAGTCAAGGGTACACTGCACCTCCTCCCATCGCTTCTTGCCTACCCATCTAGGCAGCACCTGCAGCCCCAGCACTCAGGTCTTAGGGAGGCTGGAGAGATAGTCAAGTGGAGCTCCCTCAGCAGCAGAAGCCATGCCTCTAGACAGGCTGTTTGCAGAGGGTTTCTTTTTAAGTTCTTAGTGCTGATTAAATAATTTTAAAAAAATGCTGACAAAAAAAGATTCAAGATCAAAGTGGAAGTAAAACCAAAAACCAAACAATTGGTGGTTTTAGCACCTATTGCTATTCAAGGTCTTCACAGAAGGTGCAAATATACATAAGAAAGAGGAAAAACTACAAGATAGAGGAAAGGGAAAAGAAAAAGTTGTTTTTATAGAATGGAAAAGATACAAGGTCCGAGCCCTGTCCAACCCCATGCACTTCATCCAGTGCCTCAAAATTCAACAGCATGCCTACAGAACCCAGAAATGGGTCAACGACTGCCTGGATGAAAGAGCAGCAGCGACCTTCTGAAACATTCTCAGAAATGGGATTAGGTATCAGGCTCACCCAGTCTTTGAAGTTTCACTCTTTGGAGTTTTTTCCCCACCATGGTCCAAATCCCAGCAAGTGGATTTCTGCTGAAGTACTGCTCTGAGCCTTACCTAACTTTGCAGCTAACCCAAGGAGCCATTTTACATCCTCTGTGTAGGGTGGGCTGCGGGAGAAGTTGTTGGGATGGTCGTTGTGAGCTCTTCGGCCAAGCATCTCCAGAGCCAGCATCCCTGTGAGAAAGGGGCAGCCAGAGTCAAGCAGCACTTCTGCCCAGTAAGACTTAGTCTAGCACTTCACTCACTACAACACAACCTGATTGGCCTGCCCTTCCTGCAAAAAGTCCAGAGGGAAACAAACGGCCCATCTTGGAGCCTGCCACCACAAGAAGTACATGCAAGAACATCTGAATCTGCTGCTCCAGGCTGGGAAATCCACACAGAAATCACACCTCACTAGAGCTGCAAAGAGACACTCCACTAGCATCTACAGCAGGGTCAAGCAGATAGCCCCAAAGGCTGCACTGCAAGAGGCATCCTGAAAGCAATGCATTTGCTCCGGATTTTGGAACGGAGAAGCCACCCAAATCAACTTACTCAGCTGCAAAGACAACAGGCCAACACTGAGCTGCAGTATTGTCAATCTGCAAACACTTCACTTATTCCATTACAGTTCTTTACACAAATCCTCCCATTTAAAAAATTTTAAAATACCAACAGGCACCTATGTCTTGATCTTCCAGGCTCTCTTCTCCACCTCCACTTCTCTGTTATTCAGGTTATTAAATGCCTTTCACGGCTTACCACTTACCACTGTCATGCTTCCAATGACATTCGCACCCCTTTCTGGCTAACAAGTACCTTCTCTAGCTTTCCACAAAAAAACCCTCAAGCAACCTTTAGATAGCCTTCCTTCCATTTTCTTGCTGTTTCTTTTCATTTGCTGCCCTGATCTGGCTTTGCTTATCTTAGAGGCTTCCTTCCCCCTCCCCAAGTATCCACTGGGTTGGACCATGAGTACATACAAGTAGCTTTCTGCAACCTAAGCTCAGTCAGAAACCCCAAGACTGATATCCTTGTATCAACAGAAGTTCAGACACTGTATTTCCTCATAACCAGTGTGACTAGGAAAGAATGCTGTTACATACGCACTCTCCACAAAATATAAGTTCCCTCCAGGTCAGTCTTCTACAACCTATCAGGAAAGGACAGGGCACATCCCTCTGTGCCTCTGAAGACTCAGCTGATATTATTAAACTAGAAGTGTGCCTTCACCATCCATGAGCGGCAGGAGCTGAATGCCATTTTTTCACATAGTCACAACTTGCACAATCACATCCTCAGAGCCCTATCCAGACCTTTATGTACACCTGCTGAAAGGCAAGACTCTTCCCAGCTCTAACCCACTTAGCATTCTCTTCTACCCTGATGGCTCTCAACAGCAACTCTTCAATCTTCTATTGCTTTGTCTCCATTTTTAGCCTCCACATATGATCATGAACTGCCTTTGCCCACGTAGCTAAGATGCCATCACCCCCAACAGGTGCAGTAGTAAATTGCCAAATGACAGTGAAAACCTGCAGCCCTGCCCTGAATCCCTCTCAAAGGGGCCATAGAAACCCACTTGGCTGTCCTTACCAACTCGGTATGCAGAGTGGAGATAGTGCAGACCCTGGGGGCTCACAGGCTGACTGTGCTGCTCATCCTCGGCAGGAAAACCCCCTGTAACAAGGGAGTTGGGCTGTGAGGACAGAGTTGTCAAGGAAGCCCCCTGAATCGCTGGGAACGTTGATCCTGCATGGACACTTCCTACTGAAGAGAGCAAAACAGCAGCATTAGGACCCATCACCAGCCTAAAAGAAGGTTTACTTGGGCCATCATCTCCCTCATCTGACCACCCCCTGCCAACATAGTGTTCTGTTCCCCTAAACGGAACAATACAGCAACCAAAAACCACAGACTTACAACTGAAATACAGTGGCCTAGGAATATCTCTGTTTTGTTTGCAAGTAGGGCCTGAAGGGGGTCAGTTACATCCTTGTCCATCTCTTTTGCAGTGTACCATGAACACACACATCATCCATGTTTTACATGCAAACAGGTGGGTTGACTCAAAGGTCTTTGCTATTATTAAATGACACATCTGGTTCTGATTTCTTGTCCAAGGAAAACACGTGTGTATGTCTACACCTCATGAGAAACTGCTGAGGAAAATCATTGAGCATTATTTCACTCAAAGATCCAACATTGTGAGGCTCCTCCACTTCTGTTGTAAGACAGCTATGACTCCATTCAGCTACCATGTGGAAAGCTTGCCTCTAATCCATCCTTGGAAAGAATAGCCATTGCATACACTAGCAGCACATATCAACAGTAAAAACAGCAAGAAAATTTCAGAAGCTGTCACCTTCAGAAACTAAACTAGTGTGGGCAAAATCAATGGAAATCACAGGAAAATCCATTACACTGTATCACCTAAACTTGTACAGACAGCAGGTAACACTGAGCCAGTAAGCTGTACTCTGACAACAGACTCAAATTTATCTAATTTTCCCTCTCAAGAAAGGTATGGAGAGGAAAAAGCAAGGTTTGCCTGAGCATTTCAGAGACACCATTAGGTGCATGCGCATTGTTACCCTTATTTCACAGCTTTTCTGTGGTGCTACTACACTAGCTTAGGCAATGCTCCAAGTTCCAATTTCTCCTCTTCCCCTGCCACCTCCAGCTTTTTGTTCGTTTGTTTGTTTGTTTTAAATGTTTACTAGTGAATAGTTGAATACCTGAGAACAATGTGTCTCCCAGGAAAGATCTGTCTGACCTTCTCAACCAATCAGACACACAGTGCCAAACAACCCACAAAGCAAGGCAAAATCCATGCTGCATTTGAAGCCTGGCCAAGGACAATAACCTGCAAGAATGAGCCAAATGGTTGCCAGAGCTCAAGCGTCACCACGTGACTATGTACTCCAGGAACAGTGAAACAGTATTTCAAGAACTGAAAACAGAAGTTTATGTAAGCCATAAACAACGGCAACTGGAAAGGTTGGGGTTGTTTTTTCCTTTCATTATTTTAAGTGCTCTAGGACAAGTTAGCAGTTCTGAAAGATTCATAACTCTTTGGAGGAGTACAGAAATGGTTCTCACAATTAAGAGTCACAGCATCAGCCCAGGACTAAGGCTGTCAGCAAAGGATACTCTTCAGATCCTGAGGCCTTCAGGACTACTCTATCTGCTTTTGTGGTGGCTTTTTGGCATCAAAATGCAAGATAAAAATAACTGAAAATATTCCCCTGATAATCTGGATATGAAGGAAGCCAACACAGCTCTTAAGTGTTTTCCCACCTACCAGTCTTCTAGCACCTGGTGAATACTGATAAGCAAATGTATAAACAGGCAAACATTACAGCCTCTCCAGTGAGGGAATAACAGAGCTTGGGTCAATCACGACCCACTGGTGCAAAGCCCCACAGCATGTCCACAATTCAGTCAACATCTGCTGTGCCAGTGCTGCACACTACATGATGGGTCTTCGCCACCACTCTAACACCAACACAACATTTGAGCAATCATTCAGATTGCCACGGACACGATCCTGCCAAAACATCTGTCCTCTTTACAGAAGTTCCACATTTTGGGTACAGGCTGCCTCCAGTCCCTTCAAGCAGGAGACATTTATTAGCGCTAGTGTAGCAAAAGTCTGCCTGCTGCCTGCTTCTTGCACTCTCTATTCATCTGACCCAAAGGAACTACAAGAGCCTGCTCATGACAAGCTATGCTCACCTTGCCCAAAGGAGAAGGGGAATAAAGCTCTAGTAAGTTAGAAGTCAGCAAGGCCAGGAGGGCTCCAAACACGCTCCAGTCTGAGAGGCCAAAATAATTTCATACTGGAAATTCAGCTAAACACAAATTAAAGAACCACTAGCTGAATCAGGCCCCCTTATGAATTCCAGTACCCCTGAGCATGTGCATCTTTAGGAGGGAGTGAATTTGGCCAGAACCTTCAGTGCAAGAACCCTGGTTCCACCTGTGGTCAATGAGGAGCAGGACTTGACTGGGTTACACCTAGGAGGCACGGTAAATAAACCTATGCTACACGCAGCCCAGAGCTGTACCACTTACTCGCTACGTTGGAAGACAGTGACAGCCCTGTCTCACTGTGATAGGGATGCACTGCAATCTGCGTCATGGATGGGACGGGCACACCAGGGAACGACACTGCTGTAGCTGCCAATGATGGTGTTGTTACTGAATAAGGGTACTGCGCTCCTATGAATGCTGGATGGACACCCTAAAACAAAAGATAAGTAACAGTCACGTCTACTTCATCTGACTGTTTAGAAGTAGTCCAAAGCATGACGTCCCCACACAAGCCCCAGAGCATGGGAAGTCAAATCTGACAAGGAGGAGCAAAAGCACAGGAAGAAGCAGCACAGAAGCTACCTTGCACCACATGACCATTACATCTGCTTGCTACTCCTCCTTTTAGATCTAATCAGTTTGCAAAAGGCCACCCCAAAAACTTTCAAATACAGACAGAGGTTAAAATCACTTTAATTTAGTTTTCCATCTGTAGTCTCCATTTAGCCTTCAAGCTCTCAAGATGACAAGCTTTCTGTCTAGTGCCTTCTGAAAAACTATACAGAAATAAAAATTAAAAACTACTGATGTATTATATTTTATATTCTCTCGAGACTTTAAATGCACACAAGAAGGCTCCTTAATATGCAAAAGCTGAGCTGGGGAGCCAAAGTAAGTATCCTAAGTCAGCAAGTAAGTGAGAGCAGAAGCTAGCTCTCAAGCCATGGCAGGTCTGAGCCCCATGCTCTCCCCCAGTGTACTCCCTCTAGAAGCAGCCACACAAAGTCACCATAAATTAACAAGGCACAGGCAAAACTCACCTGCGGATATGCTGAGCCAGGGACCGGGAAGACAGCTGGGCGCGGCATGTGCTGGATAGTGTGTCCAATATACTGGGGATTACAGGGGATGTGAGTCTGAAGGGTGGTGTAAGGGTGGAGACCCTGCGTGTGTGTATGTGCCATTGCTGGCCCTGCCATTGTGTGCTGCTGGTACATGGTTGACCCCACAGAGATCACCGGCATGACTGTTGCTGCTGCGGTTACTGCAGCTGCCCCTGTTACAGTGGTCGGCTCAGAGGTCACCCGGTTGTCTGCCAACCCACGCGCTGCTTCCGAGGCAGCCCTTGCACCACTGGCACTGCAGCCAGTGGCACCTTCTCTCTGTGCTGGGGTCCCACCAACAGTCTGTTCATAAAGCCAGTACCACTGGTGAGCTACTTCAAAAAGGACTTCTGGGTAGACACCACCTCCTTTGGCTGCCTCTTCTACTGCCATACAGGCCTTTTCCAGCATCAGATTGTCCTGAGGGCAGTGAAAGAAAAGCAGAAGTGAAGAACACAAAACCAGAAACACAGAAAGGCAAAACTACAACAGAAGAAAAGTATAAGGCACTCTAAAATGGCTGACGCTATGGAGAGCAGACAAATCACAACTATGCATCAGAATAACCAGAGTTATTCATAAAACATAAGAAATCCACAGAACCAAGATTAAGGCTGTCCAGTGGCAGAAGAGCCAATCCTGCAAGTAACAGCATGTCCCTGACACTAGAAATCAGCTTATGCTAGCCAGCCCCCATGTGATGCTCACCTGTTCCTTACACTGCACCAGAGCCCTCTGGATCTCATTTGGATTCAGGGCATGGGCATGGGGCAGGCAGCTGAGTGCCAGTTCAGCAGCTGCCCTCACCATGTTGGAGTCTCTGGCCCGTGAAGCTCTGTCTGCCAATGATGCCACCTCTGGGGGAGTCAGATGTCCGTCCCAACACTCTACCAAGATGTTCAAGGCTGCACTACCAATCTCCATGGCCTGTCCTAAGGGGAAGAGAGAAGACTCTCATACCACTGTATGCCCAGCGCAGTTCCAGTCAGCTTTCCCTCCACAGGAGGTGCACTCATGACTTCCTTCAGAAGCAGTGACAGAGCCCAGTTGCTCCCCTTAGGCTTCAAGTCAAATTTAAGCTCTTCCTCCCAAAACACAGGACAGGCAACAGCCCTCAACAAGCAAGCAATGAGGGAGGGTACCATTATCAACGTTAAGCTAAAGATGCATTTGAGGCAGCTCACTGCTGGAACTTGCTATAGCTGATTTTAGTACCCACAAACCATAGCCTGGACGGTCACTTTACTTCCATCATGTCAGGAAAACATGACTTTTCAAGGGTGTGTTTTTCAGGCTCTAGAAGCCATGTGGATAGAAAGCAGGTAGTAGATCTGGGTGCAAAGAGAAAGAGGAGGAAAGTGAAATGCTGAACACAGCCAAAGAGCATGTTCAGACTTGACAAACATCCATCTCTTCAGCAGACTCCCGAAGGAGAAGTTAAGACCAGTCTCTGTGTTAGAAGTGCTCTATGGCTTTGAAGACTGAAGCATGTTGCAGTACAAACAAGAAACAGGTCACAAGAACTTTCCAGGCCAAAGCAATCACCAATCACTGGTGCCTAGCTTCTACTGCCAGCTGCGCCAGTAGCTTACACGGCTACCACAGCACATAAGCATCACCATTTGGGGGAATAAGCTTGCCCCCCCCCCTTCCTGCCGAAAAGTAAGCTTCCCAATAAAGATGTGCTGTAACCTGTGATCCAAGAGACATGGGAGGAGTAAGTTCGAGAGAGCCAGTTGGGAGACACAAAGTTGTGCAGCCCTAGCGCATACAGCCCAATCTCGAAGGCGCAGAGGTGAAGGTTGCGGTGTGGTCCCTGGTGCCCACCACTGGAGGAAGGGTGGGTGAAGATAGAGGTACTGCTGTTTCCACCTGCTTTGATAAGGACTGTCTTGGCCAATTCAAAGTAGAAGTGAGCAGCTGCCTCTGAGGGCTGGTTTGGGACATGAGGAGCATGGCTCTCCAGCCGCCTCCCTTTATACCTAGAAGAAAGAGGAACATTTCAGACAGCAAAAAGCACCCCAAGTTCACTAGCTGGAGTGCAGAGTTCCTGTCTTTAGGGTCCAGAGGAATCCAAGCAAACTCTCCCAAGGAAATACTTCCTGATGCACACACGCTAGCCCCCCAACATCAGGCCTGGAGGTTGCCTCTGTGCATTGGTATTATTCATTACCTGCCAACTTCCACAGTCTTTGCACGGGCTCCCCCACTGGCTCTCCTACTGCCACTGGAAGAGGAAGATCCCAGTGAATCACTTGAAGAACTGCTGATGCTGTCACTGTCTTGTCCTCTGCCCCAGGAAGTTGTTGCCCATCCTCCACGTAGCGGACGCCGACTGAGCGTTGGAGAACTGTCAGAGGTGGTTTCGGGAGCACTGCTGTCAATACTAGCCATGCCTACAGCGAACACAGTTATGTCACCAGGGTTGGTAAATGTCATGTGGGTAGGTAAACTCCTACCCACATCACCTACAGTCCCAACTAAGATCAGTCATGTCAGTGACAGTCAGCCTTACAGCAGCCAGGCATTCAACTTCACAAAGCAAGAAAGATTAGTCAGTTTGTTCACAGATATCAGCATCATTTTGCAGTTCTCAGATTAAAAGCGGAAGAGTCCAAGAACAATGTACCTTTATTTCCCCCTTCACATCATCCCAGCCCCTCACTCCATCTACCAATCTTTGTGGCAGAGTATAACAACAAGCAGCAAATATACATACAAAGGCAAGTTCCACAGATTGTATGAGTATGAAGAAAACCCTTCTGGTACATGCTGCATAATTTACACAAAGGTTCTTCACATCCTCAGCCTCCACCTTATATTCTTCCCAAGAGAAGTGTAGAGAGGCAGTAGCTCCTCTGAATTTGTTTCTGGACCCAGGAGCACAGTGCTCCGCTCCCAGAGTCCAGTAATCATTCAGATCCAGGTATCTAATCCATCACCCAAAACATATCTGGTGTGAGAAAGGAACGGTAACTTGCCATACAGAAGGGGGCAGGAAATCTGTGGAGCAAAACCATTTCTCCATGCCAAACACCTGAGACACAATCAACTGCCTCTATAGAACAGGAAAGGCTGACAAATGGAATGAAAGAGCAAGGGAATTGCCAAAATCCCAGCAGGCTGCCTAGTATAGCACTAGATGCTGTATGAACTAGTCCGTTCCCACCTGTGTGTTTCTTCTTCTGCCTGACAGGCGAACCCCAGCATCTCCCATTGTATCCACCTCGGTTGCCAAGGGCCAGACGACTGGGGACCTTTCCCTCTTGTTTCAAAACAGTGGCCTCTGCAGGTGGCTCACAGGGGGACCTCTGAGAGCTCTCTGCATAAACAGGACAGTGACAAGGTAAACATTATGATTTATTTCTGTATCTCTAAAACCAGATGTGGCCATTTAAATGATAAAAATACCAAAAGCTGCAGGTTTTTTATAAAATGAGTCCTATTTATGAGCAGGATTATCTCAGTTTTCTTTCAGTAATAAGCACATCATCTGATACTAGGCCAACAACATTTAAGCTTAATGACTCAAGATTTGGAAAATTTGCTGCATCTACGAAAAAGTTTTAAAACAAAAAGTGCTCCAGCAACCCTGACCTTATTGCAATCATCCTCGGCTAGTATTGATCTCTTTGGGAAGAGTTAAGAGAGCACTTGCTTTCCACCAAATGCTGCTGTATGTGATGTTTGCCACCAAAGTGGAGTCATAGCCTGAAGAAAATCATGTTTATCTCTAACACCCTTCAGCAATCTTATTTATCTTGCACGAAGGTATCTTGACTCAGTGTGTAACTTTTTTTAAATCCTCCACCTCTGTGATACAAACATAAAAGATGTTTTATGTTAACTGGTTACACAACTGGCTCAAGATGTATGGGCTCAAAAATGTACAGTTCCAGTTTTGCACTGATAACGGAGTTTCAGCATAGCCCTTACAAAGCACCTCTTACCCTGTGCACTCTTCTCCACAAAGTTCTCAGGACTGCTCTGGACTGCAGTGCTTACAGCAGCTTGCTGAGTAACAGAAGTCCCTGGAAGCTGCTGGATAGCTGCAGTGGACTGGGCAGCATGTTTGGAAGGAGATTTTTGATTTGCTACTGTAGGCTTGCTGGATGAGTAGAAGGAACTCAGAGTCTGTGGTTTGTGAGTTTGACTCTCTCTGTCCAGGAGTTTGTCTAATATCTTCAACAGCAAGGAAAAAGGAAAAAAAAAAAAAAAAGGAAGGAAAAAAAAAGGAAAGAAGAGCTTAGCAGAGGGTAAGAGAACAGACATTGCACTAAGACATACAGAGAAAGTACCAAATCAGCTTCCTGATGGACAACAAATTCCATTTGTTGTAGAAAAAAAGAAAATGCTCATTCTCTAGAAAGTAGATATTGTCTTCCTGCACTGAAGATCAGCAATGCACAGTTGGGAGCCCTGTGGTCTGCATTACTGAGGAAGCAAAGATTCATTGATACTCAGTAATACCCCCATTTTCACCCAAATAACTACTGGCTTTACTTGAAAAGCACCCAAAACTCACAATAAATAAGTAATTCTGTTACATCAAGGACGGAATGGAGGACTCTATATTTAGTTCTGCCATTAGATGTTCTTGTCTAAGTCGCCAAAATTCTGTGCTCACCATTAAAAAAAATTCCATCATACAATTATTGAGAAAACGGCAAAGCCACTAGAGAAACTCCCTTCTACCAGCCTACGATAACACTGTCTTGTCCTTATTTGTTACAGAATTATGGAACAACGCATGACCACATTTTATGGGTTTGTCCATTTCTACTGTTCATTCTCCACACGAAATGAACACTGCGCGCATGACAGAGCATTTATTTGCAGATGACAGATATCACAGTGTCCCTGTTAGTCCCCAGAGAATAGTATAGCAAAAGCGCTTCTCCTTTAGAAGACAGAAAGACACTAACAACATTCTTGCTGGGTAGAAGGGTTTCTGAATATAAAAAAATCAATAAAACCTTTCCTGAAGCTTCAGCAGGTTTTGTTGTGGGGTTTTTTTTCCTCCTTTGGGGTGGAGTGGCACAGTTTTACTATCTCTGTTGCATGGGAAATTAAGGCACAGGTGGACTGAACTAGTATATCAAAGACGTGAGAGGTTAAGAAACAAAGGCTTTGCTAGATATACTGTTCTGCAAGCCAACGTCTCTGCAGTGAAATAGAATCAATCCCCAGACCACACACACAAAGCACACTGAAAACCCCTGGACAAAGGACTTGTTTTAGCAGGTAAGCAAAAGCATTAAAAGCAGTGAGAATGCATCTCCCAGCTGGACCTTAAGAAACTCACGGAAAGAGTTTCCAGGACAATGCACACTGCACAATCAGATTTTGAATCAGTGGAAGAATATAAAAACCAAACATAGCTTGTAAATTACCAGTACATGACACAGAAACTTATGCTCACTGGCAAAACTACCAAATCCATCAAAACCCAAACATGGTTTGCTCTGCACTTCCTTCTCCTCTTTTAAAGGGAAACTTACCTTCTTCAGCTTAGACTGATCATCCTTGTAAGTGATCATCAGGGCTAGTGCCAGATCCCCTTTCTCCCTTCGGGTGCCTTCACACAACAGAGGATGTTCTGCTTCACTGACAGTTGTTTTCATGCCTGCAGGCCAGAAAAGAGGAGACAGAAGACAAGTGAGCCCATGGGACTGCACTATACCCTGAGCACTATCTATATCTCAGACTAATTTACTCACCTCACTGTCACAGGCAAAAGATTCCCCCACCCCCCAATTTTTCTGTTAACTTCAGAAATAGGTCACGAATAAACAGGAGCTGCTGTCTGTCCCCAGAATATTAAGCTTAAGTAACAACTGTCAGAACAACCAGATCCTAATATGCCACGGGAAAAGAGTCCAGGCAAGCCCACAACTCCTTCCTGAAACAAATTTTTCCAGTTTCTACAGATGCTACAAGCCAGCATTCCCACACCATAAAGAGCTCCTCTTCCTTCTTTCGGAGATGAGGCAACAGAGGACAGGCCTTGTTTAATCTATTCTATTCCTTTTTGCATGCTGCTTTAAAACAGGCATACAGTATTGTCAACATAATATATACAATCACTGCTTTGTTGCTGAAGCTGATAAATTAGGCAAGAATCCATTCTTATGTTAAGATCCGGAATTACATGATAATGCTTGAGAGTACTTCTACCAGTCTTTCACTATCATTGTCTAACCTCTTCTGAAATGATTGCCTTTTGTTCTCTGAAATTGTCCATCTCCGTTAAAGCCCAGGCAATACATCTTCCATGACAAAAGAGCGAGAAGAAAGCTAAAATTCATATTACTACTTAACATTCAGTTCCTGTTCTGTAGCCCCCTTCCATTTTTCACAGCTCTGCAAAGGCACCTCAATCCTGGCATGCAGAATCCTTCTGCATCTAGTTCTGACAAACCATGCAAACGCTTTCATTTCTGCAGCAAACTGGAATGAACTACTAACTCTCACCATCTAAAATGAGGCAGGATGGAGAACATGGATGAAGAAAGACTTTTCTTGTAAAAGATTCTTACCAAGAGCAGCAACAGCTGCCTCAAAACCAAGCTCTTCGTCTCCAGGCATTTCATTATTCCAATTACGGCTTGGGGGTCTAGAGCCTGTAGGAGAAACCACTGAAAGAAGACAACAGAATTAGTGCTCAGCTTTCAAAACTAGGACCTCAAGGCAAAAAACATTTCTGAGAGCTTTCTGATTTTGCAGAGGTTCCTATGGTCCTATTCTTAGCCTTATACCAGTTTCAATACCACTGCACTGTCTTGGGGATTTTTCCCCTTTCCCTTTCTAAACTCAGAAGGCTCTAAACCAGCCAGGCATATTACCACATCAGTCTTCTAATCCCAGGTTGTTGTGTTCTATTTTAAATACCAGATTTATACCAGCTGCCTCTGAATATAAGCAGCATAAGAGCAGAAAAGTCTATCATTTTTAAGTATTTTACAAACACAGAATGCTGAAATGTGGTAAGTTTGCAGTTGTTTTCAAATGTAAGCAGAAGGAGAGAGATGGTTCCGTTTGGGCACGAAGTACCTCTAAAGCAACACGGAGGATAGATGCAAGTAACAGCTTGCAAAGAATCAAGATTAGGTCATTCTTATATGGAACACAGTTTCTCATTGAAAACCCCTCAAGATGCAGCATCTCAGAACATGCCCTCCACACACTCGAGCCAATGCAGACAGTACCTGGAGTGCACAGGACATCAAATATAAAGCTAGCCAACATCAGAGGCAGGACAGGACGGTAATCGCATAGTGTCCCCTCTCGCAGTTCTTCAGCTCTTCCTCGAATAGTGTTCATCTCATTAGTGCCCAAGGGAATCTTCTTCAAGAGTGCTACAATCTCAGACTCCTGATATGCCAGCTTCACCTGATAGTATCCACGAGGAAACAGAAGAAGCTGTCATCAGCACAGGCCCTGGTGGCAGTGGACCATTTTTCCCTATACATCAAGTACAGCAATAGCTTTTATGGGATCATTAATTTATAGCAGCTCTTAGCACCCTAGCCACATTTACCATTCTCTCCACAATGAACACAGATTTTCAAATCTAATACAAGTCTTGCCTCATATTTATACACATTTTTTTTTCTACTCAAATTACCACTCTTGAGCTGCATACAGGAAAAAAAAGTACCTCAGCTTTCATAAGAACATCAGGAGAAGCATTGGACCAGATAAGTCAGTGGAAAACGTGATTACTTTTAACTGTGGGAAGGAAGGATGCTATGTTAGGTAATATACCCATTCAAGACAACAGAGACTAACAGAAGAATGGGCATGGAGTGGCAGCACACATGCCACCAGGATGAAGTCCATTACATTTCACTACTCTGTGCCATTCCTGAATTCTCTCCATTCTTAACATGTGAAAGTGATTTTTCAGGTAGCAAGTGACTGCCAATCTCACAACCTTCTAATCAGACCATAAAAAGTACAGATAATTAGTGTAACAAGTGTAGCTGGTGGGTGGATACCTAGCAACAATACACGTCTCCAGGGTCTGCACAGCCCTGCAGTGAAAAGCAAGGCGGCTGCAAATCACACAGACAAGGTCTTAATTTGATGCTCCTTTTTTCTAAACAGAAAGCCTAATAGTAATCAAGCAGTATCCAAAATAATATGCCAGCACAGTGCACGCACTCACTTGCCAACAATGAGATATCAGCATGAACAGCAGTTTTCAAACATGTAAGAATTGCACCAATTCACCATGAGGAATATGTCTCAAACTATTTCACCAATGCAAATATGGGCAATTCCATTTACAAATGGCTTTATTTTCCCCAGATTAGCCAAGCAAACTGGAAACATATTTAATATAAGACATAAGCTGTGCTAATAAAATAATATATTCATTAATTTTTTTTTTACTCATTTAAATACTTCCAAGCCCATAGTTTCATGTGAAATCAAACACTTGTTGGCACATTTGAGCTTCCTATCAATGAAGGTAATGCCAGATGCAGTGATACTTCTAAAGATTTTTCTATCAGATCAATGAGTGCTAACGGGATATGCATCCAATTCATTTAGTCCCACTGCAATCAGTTTTAAGGAAACATATAAAAGCATAACCAAACTTCAGGAGTTGAAACAGAAACCACATGAGCAAAAGCATTCAAGCAGAACAGTCTTGCTTATGGATACTGCCTTTTTGAGATGTTTCATACCTCCAGAGCCTTTGTAGACGCAGGTGGTCTCTGCAGCTCTAGAGCAAACATTCCTATTTGGAAGGCCAGGTTGTGGTACTCCAGCCGCTCACTCAACACAGTCAGCAAGAAAGCAGCTTTAGACAAGGTGTTGGTTGCCATCCATGTCTGCTTGCTGGTTGACACCTTGTTCTTTTTGCCCTGTTTGAGGAGGAATTTGTCATAAGACACTTTCCTAAACATCCCAAATGATTCTATGCTTGTCCTCCTACCCTTTGCAATAATTACTAGACAGGACAAAGAATAAAACACATTTAAATTTTATTCCCTTTGCTGAGGAATCACAAATCCCAGTGGTTACTGATGAACATCATTATTTCACCTATCTCACCCCAGCACAACACAGTGGAAGAGGTGGCCTGTTGATAGGACATACGTCCACCATTGGACTGATGCTGTGCAGTCAGATGTTGCATGTCTGTCTGTCCCTTCCAAGAGAACTCTTCCATACAACAAACACTGCTTAGTGCCACTACAAGTGATTTTCCAGAAGTTTATGCTTATTTCTTTCCTTCCAACCCTCTTATTCCAAAACAGCGAAACTTCTACCATTTCCAGTGGTGCACATTATGAAACGGGAGACTAAGGTTGTGGAAAGAATCACAAGAAACAAGGTCACCTGCACAGAGCTGCACAAAAGTCAAGACTTCTTATGGCTGCTATATAATCTCATAGCACACAGTAGCAGGTATCTTTTAAACAAAACATCCTTTGAAGCTGAAGTTAAATAGGGTGTTTTGTTCAATTGATTTAAATAGATTCCTAAAGGAGCTGCAGCTTTTAACAGACAAACAGAGCCTCTCTCTGAAGCATAACAACAAGTGAAGAAGCTTTTAACTAAATTTGAGTTTCTGAAGACTCCAAGTAGTGCTGAATGGCCTCTTATTTTCTTTCTCCCTTTTATTCACCCTCACACACAGTGATCAGGAACATTAATGACATCCAGAGAAGTTCAACCCAGAAGAAGCATCAGTGAAGGGCCCTAAATCACACCAAACGAGAAACGCCTGGGAATGCTGTTTTATCCATTCCACATATTCCTCCTAACTTACTCTCTATCCCCAAACCTAGACAAGCTCTCTTCTCTACCTTAGTTGGTGGCTGCTCCACTTTGAGATCTGGAGGGTTGGCCAGTAGGTCCCTGGCGAGCTCTACGGTTAAGCGGCATGCTTCATTACTGTATCCATGTGCATACAGGGCCTCTGCGCAGGCAAACAGGATCTGCAAGAAAGAACAGATGATCATATTCAAACCACACTCGCCCAGGCTGGAGCTAGCCTGCTCAAACCACTCATCACAAAGACTCTGCAAACACAATTCACAACTAACTTCAGCAGCAGGTGTTCTCAGAGTCCTCCTTGCTTGGACCTTCACCACCATCCCTTTAAGCACTCCCCTAAAACACCTTTTCTTCCATGATTAAGTCCCATCCTCCCTCCAAGTGCTATAAGAGATCAGAGAATAACTCAAAAAAAACCCCTAAAACCCAAAACTGACTGACTGCAACTATTTCCACGTATCTATATTTCAGCTGCTTGCTCATGCAGGTGCAAGCTCTACACATATTTTGAGGTTATTACAGGAATGTGACACAGTCTATTTAGATTGTCTCTGGCCTTCCAGAGAATTTCCACTTACGTGGTTGGATTTAAATTTTTCCTGCTGGGCATGTCTCGGTCTTACTTATTTTTAATTTCAGCTCAAATTTGCCATTTTCGAGAGTGAGACTAGGTAAAAAGCACACACTGTTTTGCCTACATTCGTAAATTGTGGAGTGCAAGATGGGACACACTTGAAGTTAGCACAGAAACAGGGAGTCAAGCCTACGGGAAACAGACGTGTGATACCACCGCATTAAGACTCTAGACACCTTATGATACAATGGGTTATGACAACTTTATTATAAAGCACTTGATTTAACAATGTATTAGGTTAAGCGTGACTGCTAGGAGGGTGGCAAGACCACAATGTATACATTACATAAAACTGCAAAACAGTGTTTTGAACTAGATTCAGCTCACCTCCATCCGGTTCTCCTGCTCCAGAGGCTTTATACCAGCAAATATATCCTGCTCCTCTTCATTTCCCCCTTCAGCTTTGTCATCATCTTCCTTGGCTACCTCTTGTGGATTCAAATAGTATACCTGGTAATCGTCTTCCTCTTCTCCATCATCCCCACCCCCCACTGCACCATTCTCTCCCATTTCCTCTGGCTTCAGGCTCACACCACCACTGTTCTCATCTGCGGAAGGCAGGTCGTCATCACCACTACCCATTTCTCCCACAGGATCCTTGGGTGATTTCTTGGCCATGGAACTGCTCCTGACACTCGGCTCAGGTCCCTCAGAGAAGTACACCCCACCATCCTCCTCGAAGGTGTCCCTGTAGCTCCTGCTCAGTGGGCTTTCTGTAAAACTAAATGTGTTGCTGGCTTCTGCCCCCAGAGCCAAGCTGCTGTCATCCAGGCTCATCTCCGCCAAGTCTGGCTCCAGAGAACTGTCTTCACTGCTCATACGGCGTTTCCCACTATGTTTACTGGTCAAGCCTTTGCTCACTGGCAACTTTGCTTTGCCCACTGCAGTCTTATATACAGCTTTATCACCTTCTGCTGAAAGTCGTCTCAGAACCCTCTGCGGCGTTTCAGAGACGACTTTCCGCTTCCCAGTAAGTTCCTTTGGACGAACTGCAGGCTCCTGGGGAGAGGGACGCAGCCTGTCCCCAGGCTGCAGACATAGTCCCCCAGGTTCCTGTCCATGTGTTCTACCAGCCTCACAGGCAGTTTCTGCACACTGCAACCGGCAGCTCCTCTGCTGTATGGCCTTTACCCAACAAAATGAGTTCTTCTTGTCAGTGCTGCTATATGTGATACCAGGAATGGGATAAGCTTCCTCCCAGTTGAAGTAACAGGCTTCCACAGCTGGCTTGAAGCCCTGGAAGAGCTTCTCCAGTGATTTCTTGTGCTGACCTCTCTTAACATTGTCTATGACTTTCAGCTGCCACTGCCTGAGCTGTGAGCAAAGGTCCCTGCGCCTAAGAGAAACATAAGAGGATAGGTTAGAAAGTAGACACAAAATACACCTGTGACAAACCACCTCAACCCAAAGAACACCTCCTCCTTTCGGTTGGAAACATCTTCTGCTAGGCTATGTATAGACAGCATTAGTAAGAAGACCAGCTAAAAAAAGGAAACAGGTATATCAACAACCAAGTCCTTGACAGGTCCATGATACAGAAATAAATTGTGAACAGTACCAACATGAAAGCATGATACAAACTGGGAGGTTTAAAATTAAATACTGTCTGCCCTGTTTGTGTATCTACCCTAAACAAGGTATTAGTGATTGAGTCTCAGCGGTCTGAGATCAGTAAGTGCCGTGGGGAACTGCTCTTGGAAACATTCATAAAACAGTCTGCAGCAGCTATGAAACAGTCCTGTGAACAACTCCAGCCAAGATAGTCACAAGTACAATCTAAACAGCCTACCCAGGGAAGCACAATGTCAGACAGGACCACCTAATCTACCTCCCAGGCACTTACCTCTTTACCCTGATATGCCTACCTAGAGCCCAATAATTTAATTTAGGTTTTAGCAGGCTGTCCTCAGGAGACTAAACTGTTGCAAGCCATAGGCACAGAAGAAGCAAGACAAAAATAACTGATGTTCAAATAACTCTTGAGGAAGAAGCAAGCTGGTAAGGTTATATAGACTCAAACAATATGGCAGTTAGTCCCATGCCCTGTAATACCATGGGAAGCACAAAGCATTTCTGCATTTTCCAGCTCCAAATCTCATGTAGGGTCTAAGCATATGAACAAGATAGTCTACACTGATTACACATTTGGGTGATCTAATTAAAGAAGAGGAAAAGACATTTCTAGAAATGGCACCAAGTGTCTCAATCAACTGCCATCTTGCTTCTGCCACAGATTTCAGAGATCTGAAGTACAAGCCAAACACTTCTATCCTCTCAGATTTTCTATCAAAAGCAAAAGAACAACAACAAAAAAAATTAAATCAAAACGGGGTGACTATTTAGGTGCAAAGTGTATTAGGACAAAAGGGGCTAAACAAAACAGATTGCTTCTATTTGTCCACTAAAGAAATTAATTAACAAGAGAGTAGACTGGTAGGGCTTAATCAAGGACAGAGTTTTCAGAAATAAAAAGAAGTGGGAACTACTCAGGAAAGGTAACTAAGGATGAGAGCCTACAATGAATTAGGAAGGAGGTAACAAGGCTCCTTATGATTCACTGGAAAGAACAGCAACGGTAGGTAGAAGAGGGTTCTTCTCGGTGACTATTCAAATGCCAAGAGAATAGGTAACTGAGCAGGAGCATTTCAATTATGCACAAGCTCAAGCAGGAGATCTGAGCAAATCTGAACTGCACCAAATAAATGTGAATACACATAGCACAACCTCATACTTTATTAAAAGCCAAAACCTTTTATGTTTTTTATACATGATCTGATTGATGCTTGTGTTTATTTTAAGCCTCATTCACAGTTTCTTACAGTTTTTGATTCATCTTCATCTCCTATATTTAGCTACTTCATATTGTAAACTGTACAAGACAGAAACTGCATCCATTTTAGTGTCCCTGCTGTACCTCACAGAGATAGGGCATTTTATTAACGTTGCACAACAATTCACAGAAGCAAATCCTGGTAATGTGTAACTGTACTGAAAATACCGTCCTGTTTTCATTTGTTCCGAAAAACTTCTTCTGAGCATTTATAGCACATTAAACTAATTCAGTACATTTCACAAACCACACCTTGTAGACTAGATGTACAAAACAAATTATCACAATGCATCTCCACTGCTATTCGCAGCTAGTGCTAAATAAAGATTGCAGTGATTTACCAAGGCAGAATATGGTTTAGAATCCTGAAGAAACCTTGCAATTTTTCCTCAGAACTGAAAACACTGACTGAAAATCATACACCTGTGACACTGTTTACCAATACACCGGAGAGAATAAACTCCCCAAGAACACAGAAAACAAGAAATGGCCCATCTTGAAAGAGACAACAGTGAATGATTGGGCTAAACAGAAACCCATTAAACTGCTGAACAGTTAAATTTAGAAAGCATTAAAATTTATTGGTAGCTGGTGTTACCATTCAAAGAAATGTTCTCCACTGGGACACTGAAACGTAGAATTACACTCATATGCAAACGAGAACTCCCAAAAAACAAATTTAACAACATTGTGTAGTGTGAATAAAGTGAGCAGCAATAGCAATTACAGTTTAAAGTAATTATAGTCCTCTTGAACCTTACATAGCACATAGTCCAGAAGGTAATGAGGTAATAATACAAACACAAGAATCTATAGGAAGAAACTCTTGAGTGTGCATGAATATCACAGAAATAAGAGTCAGATTGGATTTGATTCTGGTGCTCACCTCTGTGGACTAATAGTCGGGTCAAGGACAGCCAGCCTCCAAAGAACCACCATTTCATCACACATACTTGCACAAGCATGAGCAGCTACTTCTGACTGGCCATTGCTGCGTCCTGTGTGCCCGCTAGCGCTGCTGTGTGATGCAGATGTACGCACACTGTACCACCAGCCGGTTATCTGCAGAAGAAAATGTTCAGTGGAGCTGTGTTGTGGCCAACATCTCATGCCCTGCTCTCACTTAACCTCACAACCACAAGGAGATGGGATCTGCAGCTAGTACCGTGTTTCCATTTGACTCCAAAACAACTACGAGCATGAAAACAGCAACGGTTTGTGAGAACTAACGGCTTCTCAAAATTCCTCTGGTTAGAAGGCATATGCCCACAGAACAAAACACTCACAGGAAGTTCTCTTACTAGAGACCTTCACGCTTGGAGGAAAAAAAGTGAATGAATGTGATAAATGAATCATTTCCTTTCCCCTGCTCAAAGTTGAGGTATGTGATAGAGCAATAAGGAAACCTACACTGCAATTTATATTACAGAGTGAGATCAGTGTTCCTAACTGTCCAAAGAAACTTTTTTCCTAATATTATTTAAAAAAAAAAAATTACTTAAACTCATCAAAAGACACTTTCTACAAAAGTAATGAAAGAATCTGAGATTCTACCACCCAACATACATCTTTACTTTTTATAAAAATGAGAGCTCACATGTGATGTACTTTGTTTAGGAAAAAAATATTACATCACCTTGACTGGGCAGAAATCAAATCAAATGTGCTGAGAGAGATCAGACTCCATATATTCATGTTAAAGAAGTAAGGTATTTTTTGGATATAGTGTTATCAGGGCATCATTAAATTAGCACAAGAGCAAACTGTAACATCATTTTAGCTTTTAGCTTTTTCTAGCTTTCAGGAGAAGCACATGCCCACAATGCATACAGACCGTTTAAAAACCCCATTACTCAGCCATGTATTGTACAGGGACACAGCATCAGTCACTGGCTCAGCCTGGTTCCCCAGAATTTCCCCCCCACAGCAAAGAGATTTGAATACCTGCTCATAGTTGAGACACTGGTCAGTCAGAATCTCCAGCAAAGGAGCTGCATTGCTATCCCGTCTCTTAAACATCTCCCGCACAATGGAAAGCAGATTCCAGATTCCTTCAGGCTCTCTTCCTCGCAAGGGACGCAGGAGACAGGCCCACTCAGCAGCAGCTGGTGGCTCCGTGGAAGAGAGATACATTGAATTCACATCACTGTAGATAAAACAGAAGAGCATGGATAAGAAAAAATTAATCCAAGCACAACTGTACAAAATCCTGAGTATATTCTACATCCAGAAGTATATTTGCACCTTAAATGGGACAGACATACACAACCTAAGAGAGGATGCATTACGAGACTGAGATCACCACACAAGCAAGGTACTGTGTAAATACAGTGTGCTCTACTGAAGTAACATCGGACAAGCTATGCAAAAATACAGTCCAGACGAGTGACCATGAAACCAAGCATCCTTGAGTCCATAGCATCACGTAAGGGTACAGGCTATACAGTGAACGAGTTTACAGATTATATGAATATAACATTTTTCCTTCAATGGGAAACAGTTTACCTGAAAACAACAGGAGAGGGTCCACAGAATTTATGAAGGGTTTTCTTTATGTTGTCACTCAGAGTAGATTCATCTAAGTACCAGGTGCTTTGATCTGATGCAGAGGGTCCAGCAGTGGGATCTTGAGATAAGAATAACACATATACACTCTGCAGGCTTTGAAGATATTTTCCCCTGTGTGCCCAATCACAGAGCTTATAGGGAGTACACAGGCATTGTCACTCAGTTTATTTCACCCATTGCAGAACTCATTATTCAGAACTATCTTAAAATGCTATCACAACATTACCTTAACCACTGACAACACTAAATTGGGAGACATGGCTGGCATGCTGAATGGTAGCACTACAACCAGTGGGACCAGGAGAAATTCAAGGACTGTGCCTCATGAAGTTCACTGAGGAAAAATGTACACTTCTGTACCTGGGACAGAAAACCCCATGCATCAGTACAGACTGAAAACCAACAAACCAATGGCAAACTTTCACTGAAAACACTGAAAAACCAACCTGCTAACTGGACCATATTAAGAAATGCACAGCTAGCAGATCTAAGGAACTTATTTTAATCCCCTCTACCTGGCTATGGTGAAGTTAGACCTGGAATATTGTATCCAATTTTGGGTCCCTCTATCCAGGAATGATACTGAGGAACCAGATAGGATAGAGTGGAGGGATATCAAGATAGCTGAGGGCACAGAGCACATGACCTACAAGGTGAGATTGAAGAAGATGGGCTAATTTCATCTAAAAAGGAGAGGGTGAGTGGTCATTGATCCTTCACAGCTTACAACTACTTGGAACCACAAACACACAACAGACAAACTCTTCTTGGTAGCAGTAGATGATAAAAAAGGGTATTCATACTGGACATTAGGAAAAAATAGAAATACTCTGTAATGTCTCTGGTAACCAAGATTTGGCTGAGCCAGCCCAAGCCACAGCCCAATCTAGTGTTGTAAACAGTCCTGTTTCAAGTAGGAGGTTGGAGAGGTCCCCTCCAAACAACATTTCCAGGAGCCTATAATCAATACCAACTTAAAAAGAAAAATCTTTTGTTAGAAAGGTGCATTGCCTGATGCTCCCTTCCTCTGCATACACTCTGAGGCATCCATTGCACCAGCAATTGCCTGTTGCTGTGCCATATATACATGCAAGTGCCTGTACTCATCCCTTTCCCTTGACCTCCACCTGCAATCCCAGCTACATGGTAACAGACCAGTTCAGATACTCAAAGCAATGGAAATATATCCACTTTCTGCCTGTGACACGGATTACTGAAATAAGATATATCAAGGTTACCTGGGGCTCCACAAACGGTGTTGATGGCAGTAGACTGAGAAGATAACAGCTCATCCAGCAAGCGCTGAGCTGTTGGAAGAATCTGAAAACATGAAGCAAACTTTCAATATGCACAGTATTTCTTATCCTGATATACTCAGCCAAAGATCTGCCTGGATTTTCATGACTGAAGCACTCATAATTTTAGTACCAAATACACACAGTCATGTTTTCAGAAAGGACGACAGAGGGTGCTAAAGATTATACAATATCAAACCAGCTGTTACACTTTCTCCTTTCCTTTCTCAAAGCAAACCTATATGCAAGGTTTACTTCCTACATTCTCACCCTAAGTAGTAAACAACAGCATCCTAGGTTATTATTTCCTTTCTCACTTCTTGAGGAGTAAGAGCCCACAGAGTGATACTGCAGCTAATTTTGAGAGATATGAAAGTGACTGCAGTCAAGGTCATCATTTTCCTGCACTTCCAATGTTATTTCTTGAAAAATGCACAGTAAAAAGTGGTTTTTTTCCCAAACTAAGTCTGGGCTGAGACCATAGACCCATTTAGCCTTTAGCATGCACACTTACAACAGGTTAGGCACATAGCTAGGATTAAAAGACTTGCAACAGAACATTTGCTATCTTCCCACCTCTCTCCGCACAACAGCTGAGGTTAAAGGATCACACTTACCATAAAGCAAGGCACATTCAGTACACCTGTATTTGCAAATAATATAGAACCATCTCAAATAGATGGAAGAAAAACAATGCTTCAGAAGGATATTTGGCATTTCAGTAACCTGAAGAAACAAACTCAGCATTAAGCTATTCTTGTACTTTTTTCCACTACTATATATTTTACGTCACCACAAAGCAGAAAAGTCACAGGTCTAGGCAATGTCATATCTTAAGGCTGAAGTATCAGGGACCTGCAGTGACTCTCCTTCACTATTTTTGCCAAGATATTCATATTTAATTGGAATATGAGTACCGGCTTCATGAAGGGAAACGGCTCTTGGAAGAAGAACTGGGGAATAAATTACAGCTGCTCAGAATCACTGACATTTTCAAGGATATAGAAAACACTTTCTACAAAGATTTTGAAAAACATCCCCATATCTAGCTGCATTCCTACAGACTACCATCCCTTTACACTTGAAAGTAATTCAACATTATATTACTGTACTATAATGTCATTCACAAGCTGAAAAGACGGATAAAATAATTGTGTGTACAGCCTACTCTACATCATGTAGTCAAAATATGGGGTCCCAAGGTACGAGAGTATCTATCTCCACCCAGGAATCTTCAAGACCAGGAATGAGACTGTTGGAAGAGTTTGGGGTGTGCCTTGCCTTTTTCAAGTGCATTACACAACATAGGTTAAGATGGATCTGCCAGTAAACCCCAAACTTTTCTGCTGGGCAGCATCCATCAGATTATCTGGCAAGATAGTAATAATTAAATAATCCAGATGTTCCTGGGTGCACAGCTAATACACATGACTCAAGGAGAAATAAATCCTGCAAAAAGGAGCAGTTCAGAATATTTGAAAGCAAATAACTCACATGCCATTCAGGAAACAACTACCACCACTGCTAGCCTTTCAAAACCCTCCTTTATTAAGCACCAGACTATGTGACATAAAGCTCTGAGTCCTTAAGGAGAGGAAAAGCTTTGTCTGTTACATAATGCAGCAAGAAGCACACACTATTGGTGCTGAACTCTCAGCAACAAAAAAGCAGTATTTTTACATCACTTTCATATTATATGATTCCTCTATTTCCTCTCATAAGAAGATTAGTATTTCTGTAGGAATTTTAGAGGACGTTTTTATCAACAGAATATCTTAGTGTCCCAATCACAGCACCATAATATGAATTTTAGGCACATGCTGACAGTAACCTAACTCCTCCTTAAGACATTATGCATGCACTACTGAAACGTGACAGATACCCATGCAGGTCAGCTTTTCTCAACCTCCTTTGGTTGAAGCAGCACAAAAAAAATTGCCAAGCCCTTGTATTTTTAAAGCAAACATTTCACAGTCACTTAGGTATTCTTGTGTATTTTGTGGAAGCATTTTAGGCAGAAGATGTAAAGGACCTGACCTTGAACAACATAGATATTTAAGGAATAAGAGCAGATTTTGCCTTTGACTAACAAAATTTCATGTCTATTACTTTCCATAACGCAAATGATTCTTACGAATCACCAAGAAGCTACACTGAGGGAAGTCAAAAGGTCATCAGTTGAGTGCATTAGAAAGCGCCCACCTAAAGCACATACAACACATCCCCTGCGTAGTCTTCTCCACTTAACTAACCAAACACATAAAAAAGTAACCTGCTATGTGCTGACCTAAGTTTTTCACCACCATGCATTTCTTTTATTGTGTTTGATCTTCCACAAGCTAAGCATATATTCATGCTAATACGAATAGCCACCACTCTTTCTCCTTTTAAGACATTTCTAATCCTTTATTTGGCAATAGACAATTGTCAAATAATAGAATGTCAAACCCGAAAAGGGCAAGAACTGAAAGCCTTCCCAGCAACTCACAATTGAATAGCACAACTGGTTATCTTGCAACAAAAGACATCATATAAATTGACCCAGAATAAAGGTAACTGAATTTAGCAAAAAGTCAGTCCTATCGATTGTCCCCATTTACCTGTTGTGGAAGTTCACTGATTAGGTACTGAGCAAATTTTTGCAATTGGTCTCTTTGTAGCCGAGACAAGGACTCGGACACAGGTGCTCGTAAACATACCGCAGATGCCTGAAAAAAGAAAAGGACATATAAACTGCCATTAAAAGGTCAGGCTTAATGAAGCTGTGTCCACTGAATAGATGAAGTGTCATGAACAGTAGTTACACTGATGCATATCATGCCTGGTCTTGATGGACAATCTTTTTTTCTGTAACTATGTGGTACGTTGCAGATAAGATGCAAATAAGCTGTCTAGACTTCATAAAAACTGTTTTTTAAGAGTTTCTTTTCAAGGAAACTGCCTGAACAGCTGTGTGTAAGATCTGTTGTTGCTAGCAATTGCACAAATACTGGCAGGGATTTCACAAACAAACCTCTAAAATGGGACATTATTCTTTAAGCTTCTGGCAAACCAATGAGCTCGGGGGGGGAGCTGTTTCACAGAATCACAACCACCTCATTTATCTCATTAGAGGGTTTTTCTTCAATCTTAAAATCAGTCTCTTTCCATATCTTGGAACAACTTATATGATAAAAAACACCTACCACTAGTTTCTTAACCTTTTTCACTCTATAGAACAAAAAATGCCCACATGGCACCGACTTAAAATTTAACCTGGAAACAGGCAAGAGTAGTTTGATAATAAAGATGCTTCTGATATTGATTTGTCTACATAGAGCAACATACCTTAGCTTGTAACTTGCTAGTGTCAGCAGTCAGCATATACAAACATGAAAATCCTTTCACTATTATTTTTCAGGTAGAAGAAAGGATTAGAAGGAAAAGAATGATTTTTATGTTACACAGGATGCAAACTTTCTGAGTGCGAATAATAGAAAAGAAAATTTGTTTCCTATCCTCACTCTCCATACCCACATTTTAAAACTGGAACTAATAATCCAAACCAGAACCCGTTTTTTTGCTCTCTAGTCCTACATACAGAAAGTATACTGATATTCTGATGATTTCACAAGAGTACCAATTTAAGCCTATTACAACTGTCCATTGTGAAATATTAACAAGCTTCAGCAGGTTATTAGCACTTATTTAAGAATCTGCAGTTGACCATAAGCATGTTAGCTACAAAATGTTCTGTGACAGAAGAAAATCTTCTGTTCCTTTCAGTCATCCAATCTTAATCCTTCCTGAAGATGTATTTCTCAGCTTCCCAAAGACTGAGGAAATTAATCTGTATGTAAGACTGAACTCTCAACTTGTGCATTTCATGTTGATACTACACAGTTTCACCTGGAGCTCACTGGGATAAGAAACACCTACTTTTCACTCTATACAAGGCCACACAGAATACAAGTAGTCAAATAAAAACATAAACTGACTGTCTGAAATCTAGAAGTCAAAATTACACTTGCCTGCCTCAGTATGTATTAAAATGAACTGAGGAACATAAAGGCCAACAGTGATCAAAATTACTTTGTTTCTGCACTCCGATCAAACAATTTAAAGAAAGAGCTTTCAAATCCCATATTGACAAAGACTTTTAATAAAAGACTAACTATTGGTGACCTTTCACTCCTTGCAGGACTGAAGAAAGAATAATTCTAACATTTAAATGAGAAACAGGAAGGGGCCAACAAGGACTCTGTATCTACCCTTAGCAATTTGCACATTATCAAAGGACATTCTGCAGTTTCGAGCCTCAGACAATTCAATCTGCAGACTGCAACTGTGAGTGCACACTTGCACAATCTGTAACCAAAAGGAGTGCCAAGAACAACTTCCCTAAAGAGAGTGTGTGTTGTATAAAACTGTAATGAGGAAAGATTCAGAGAAGATGCCTAGGGGAAAGCAGAACTGTATTTAAAGGCCTACATTGTGTATCCGGAAGAGGCAGAGCGCCACGACATGAGCACACCACTTGGCCCCAGCTCCGCAGGTACAGCTGCATGACGTGATCCTGCATCGGTCAAACATCACCGCCACGTTGTACGCACCTTTAGGTGGCACCATCTGTGGGGGTACCACAGTGGCACTCAGGTGGAAACCTGTTAAAATTCAAAAGTCCAGTTACTCTTCTGGCACTTGGGAGACAGATTCAGCTAGCATGGAAATTTAGGTGCCATTTAAACAGCAAAACAGCATGTCTAGCAACAACATCCACATAGGGATAGACATGAATCTAGAGTCTCCAGCACTTGTTTCTTCCAAATCAGCTATGGCAGAATATTAGCAGAGGCCTAACATGTTACAAGAGGTTCAAAAATATCAGCTTTTAATATATTATTTTATTTATATATTTATTTCTATTAATATTTAACAACGAAAAGCAGAACTGCATAAAGCTGTCACTGAAAGTGTGGGGGTCTAAGATAGACTATACATATTTTAGGCATGATTTCTATGTTAATTAACGCTGGCAACAGTACAGAACAGGCTAGATGACCTCAGAATTATTTCCAAGTCAGTCAACTTCCACAATTTTACAGTGAACTAAAGAAGGTAGCAATTACACCTGAACACTTACTTTCACTTTGTGGCTTCAGAAGCTACTATTTCTCATAAATTATGTACCTCCTTGTAATTTTGTGAATATCCCTTTTTTATAAACCATGTACTCAGACAACAAAACACCCCTCAGGCTTAGACTAAAATCAATGGAAAAGGGAAATTTCAGCAATAACACTTGAATGAATCTAGCCCCATTAATCTGCTCAAACAAATAAATTATGAATTTCATCTCAGGCAGGATGACAAAGAAATTTAATGAGGCTTGGCTTCATGTAAACTCATGTACAATGCTGTCACCGGTTAAGGCTGGGCTGGCCACTAAACTAACGACAGACGCTCTCTCTTAACCCCTCTCCCTTCCGAGAAGTGGAAGAGAGACTTATGGGTTGGAAAAAAACCCTAAAACAGCTTTGATGAAACAATACCAACAAAAAGATAATAATATTAATAAGAAAATAATGACGTATACACAAATATATACAAAACTAGTATCGAACTCCCCCAAAGACAATCATGTCACCACTGATGCTGCAGCGCTAGCACTGGGAAAGTCCCCGACTGGACTCAGTGGCAGACAGAAACCAGATACAGGAGCTGGATTCAGGAACGCACAGATCGGAATCGAAGGCAGAAGAACAGAGTCTTCCTCGGAGGCTGGCCATAGAAGAAGAGCTTGACCCTTGTGATCCCTCAGCTTTATACCTAGTATGACTTAGATGGAATGGAATAGTTTGTTGGTCAGGTTTGGATCACTTGGCCTGCCCGCTTCTCCCCATGGGTGCAATCTTTTCACTCATGACCCTTTTACTTATGGCACACAAGATTTAGCAATGACCTTGGTTTCTATAGGAGCAAGTATAAGCAAGAGCCTTTCTGCGTACCATTCCTTATTGTAACTATAAGCATCAAGCGCTATCACTTCTAGAAGCAGACACTCTCTGAAAAAAATATACCATTAACTTCAGAAAGCGCAGTCACTCAGAAGAGACTTAGCTGAAAAGTAAAAACACTGAATGGAGAATCGGTTCTGTTCTAGTTCAAACCACGACAAATGCATACCAGTTGTACTCATAATACAGCTTCCTCAACAAATAACGGTAATCCAGAGGCACACGTATTACCAGAAGGAGCTGGTAATGAGCATGAATCTTTTACTTGTCTTGAAGGTCCCTATCACCAGTTAATCATTCTCTACAGCAATGAGTACCAACCTCAAAACCTTTCTGCTAGTCTCAAATTCAGTTTTAATGAAGCATAGAAAGCACCATGGGTCAAAATTCAGTCCAACAATCACAGAATGGTTTGGGTTGAAAGGGACCCTAAAGATCATCTAGTTCCAACCCCTCCTGCCATGAGCAGGGACACCTTCCACTAGACCAGGTTGCTCAAAGCCCCATCCAACCTGGCCTTGAACACTTCCAGGAAGGGGGCAGCCACAGCTTCTCTGGGCAACCTGTTCCAGTGTCTCATCACCCTCACCATAAAGAATTTCTTCCTAACAGCTAGTCTAAATCTCCCCTCTTTTAGTTTGAAACCGTTAACCCTCATCCTATCACTACACTCTCTGATAACGAGTCCCTGCCCACCTTTCCTGTAGGCCCCCTTTAAGTACTGGAAGGCTGCTATCAGGTGTCCCCAGAGCCTTCTCTTCTCCAGGCTGAACAGCCCCAGGTCTCTCAGCCTGTCCTCATAGGGCAGATAATCCAGCCCCCGATCATCTTTGTAGCCCTCCTCTAGACCCTCTCAAGAAGGTCCACATCTACCTTAAGTGAAAAAATACGGCTTGGGACAGATGATTAGAATAGTTTCTCAATCATCAGCACAGGGAATTACATTATAAATCCACACTACTAAATTTTTATTCTGATATTGTCAGATTATAACAACAATAGTGTTCAGGAGTGCACGTGACTTCCTAAATCCCATTTAAAACAATGTGCCCTATTTCTTCCTCAAAATATAATCCTTGTGCCAATACAAACTTGCTCTTACCTTGCTTAACCTCTCTATTTCTCCTGTTCACAGAATTCAAATCCTCTTCCTGATGTGGGTGATTATTTTGATTAGTACACATAATGCCACCCAGTTCTTCAGCCATTTTAGCAATTGAAACAGAATCAAAACAAAAGAAGGCATTCACACAAAATTACAGAACTGGTTATTACTAGCTACAGTTCTAATTTATGTTCCACACTTGGGTAATATAACCCAAACACTTCAGCTAGTCCTGTTGTACTAGAAGTATCTCAGACTAATGCCAAAACATCCTAACTTTCACAAAACCATATGAAGCATTTCACAAATTGCAATTGCAGCAATTCTGTTTCACCAAGAAAAAGAAATATTCAAAAGGTGTTTAGAGAAGAATAGGTCACAGCTATAAACTCTTATCAAGCTCCTACCACAAAATTTTTATTTGTATATGAAGACAGTTAACTGATTAAATACAAAGAAGGAAGAACAGTTATAAAAAGAGACAAAGAAAATTTAAAGGCTTCAGCATGACATATTACAAGCTCCAACTCAAACTGTAGCTTGATGAACATATCTGCCACTGCTAATCCAAGCAGCTCTGCCCAATTCTTTTTCAACACCAGTCTTGCTGTACTGAACAACTGTTTGCAGGATGGCACAGGAAACCATACCAGGAAAAAATTCTGGATTAAATTAATGGCTACTTTTACCAGGTAAAATACCACAGTTCAGTTCACTCCACAGCTTACACAAGCCTGAGCCTGCAGGGACTGAAAAGATGACTAACTGGATGATAACCACTCTAGAGTGCTTTAGCCCAACACTGCTGTTTAAAGAAATGGTCAGCAAATTGTACTTGTTTACAGTCAACTGTCTTCCCCTGCAGACCACAGCTCTTACCCTCCTGCTCAAATGTGAAGAAAAAAAATCACATCTACTACACACCTGAGTGACCTAGCCACTTCATGGAGACCACAAGAATGTTCTTCCACCCACCCCCTGCTCCCACTACCTCATAACAGCTTACCTACTCCATGCATAACAATACATTACAAAAACATGTCTGTATGTACCAGCAGCATTCATTCTGCAACTGCATGTAGCCCACAAGAAAAAAATAATATCTATACCCTAATTCTTGGCAAGTTCCATTCCCAGGAGGCCTTGAGAATGAGCTGCAGGCCAGAGGAATTGCTCTGCCAGGAGTCTCGCTCCCCTAGCTACCATTTTTCTTAAATGTACCGTGGGCATAGAGCAAGCTTAGTGCTTCTGTGAAAGCACTTAAGTCTTTCTACACAGAAAGCGCATCTTACACTTCTATGAGCACCAGACACCTTACTTATGCACAGAACAAACATGTCAAGCAGCCAGCACCAGCATCAATGCTTCAGAGGATGTGTCAGGTAGACACTGTCCAACACACTCGCTATGCACAGAGAGCACTGGGAGTGATCCACTGCAGCCATGAAGCAAGTTTTATGTAGTGAAGTAGAGGTAGTAGCACGCTATCCTCTCTAACACTCAATTAAGACACATGGTTTGTTCAAATGTAAAAGCTGGACATAATCCACTGATGCCTAGACTAGGTCCTACAAAATAGAGGTGGCTTCTTTTTCAGTCCATCACCTACCCTTCTCACTGCTTTACGCCTCAAACAATCTTTCAGGAAAAGTATATAAAAGAAATGTATGCTTCCTGCTGTTTAAAATCCAGTTTTCAGAATTTTAGGATAGCTGTGTCAATGTCTTTTGCATTTAATATTTATTTTACCATGATACTCATTTATTGTGAAATTTCAGGTCTGTTTATTCTTTTTTCTGAGGTCCTATTAGTCCTCATGATTTCAGGCAGAAATGCACAAATTTCAAATACCTCAAGCTACTCGGTAAGCATCTGGAATTAAAAGATTGAAGTGACCTATGAGTTAACAACACCCTGCTAAGAATACTTCTTGCAATACAAATTCCAAGCTTTCTTCATTGATTTTCAGTAGTTCTGATGCCCCTGTAACAATGACAAACACAACTCTGCATAGAATTTAGGAACTTTTTCTCTGGCTTTCCTGGGACTAACAGCAATGGGAAAACAAGAGCTGAACAATAGCTTTTTGACAGGAAGTAAAGCAAGGTAATTTTGGACATATGTTTGTTTTAAACCAATAAAGGAGAATCTCTAAAGAGTGGAGACTTAGAGACACTACTCAAGGAGATGCAAAGTTAGAACCAAGACTGAACCTGCTGCTGCCTTCCTCATTTGTGAAAAAGAAATTAAGACTATGACAGAAAAAAGTCCCTGAAATCAGCAACTCCAAACACATCTACTTGAGAACAGCAATAATGTTTTCAGTGCAAGGAGGTGAGTAAACAACCACTACAAAGGGAATGTGCAGAAGAAGGTCTACAAAAGCCAATTATTTCTGTATATACAGTAGAACACTGTAAAAAAAGTGTGGTTTTGGATTGTGGTGAAGAGGTGCTCTTGTTCAGAAATTATGGGTGTGCATTTGCATAGGAACAAGATGACTTAAGATTACTCATTGACATTTAAAAAAAATAATGATCTTATACTGCAAAGGGAAACGGGACAAAAAGAGCACCAAGACATTTCAAGACTTATCCTATTGATCACACTATCACAATGCACTGCCCAATCCCCCTTCAAATCAAATCCCCTCTCAAGGGCTGCTTCACATCCTGTGTTTCTTTTCCCATTTGTCAGTATACAAAACTCAAAACTGCAATCACACAATCACACACCTTAAAAATCATTTGGAGTAGACAACTGAAATTATATCCACGCCACCTGTACTGCCCAGCTTATGGGCTGCTATTTGGGGGTGGGGGGACGGCGGGGGAAATCCCTCCATTGGATAAAGTCCCTCTGCTAAGGAGGAAACAACGTCACTGTTTAAATGAAGCTACTTCCTTCCCTTCCACGTGCATAATCCTTTGTCAAGAAGCCCAGTTGCTGTATGGGTACTTGAGAAGTTCCTCCTCTCTATCATTCACTGTCTCTTCTTTTTCCCTACTCCTCTCCTCCTCCTCCAAGTACAGGTTTTGCATTAATATTCCTAGCCTTTGTTCATTGACATTGCTTTACACATCCTCACCTTTTTAATTTATTACTGAAACAAGTTTTGACCACAGTCTGTAGTCAAACGCACTGTATATTAACTATTCTGCTCTTTTCCACTGTGAAAGCCCCAGGAATTACTGAATTTCGGTCAGCTGCATTTTAACTCATTTTGTGTGTCTCAAATATTTGCCTTCCTGAAGTTCAGCAGATGCCTTAGAGGCCTCTCTCAGCATTTCAGTCCTGACATCGGGAGTTTATGAATGCACTCAAAAGTCAGTTTAATCCTATTTAGCTCAATTTCGTTGACATGCCAAAATTACTATCTGGTTTCACTGACAACTCAATATAGCTTACGTATGAGGAAGTACTTCACTTCCATTCCCAAGAATTCCTGCTATTGTTATTACAGTAGACAATGGACTAGGTAAAATCCTTTCAGATGCTTTACCTTATATTCAGGTAACAGTCCATCAGTCTCTCACAATTTGCATATCTCTATTACTATCTCCTCCTCTTTTCGATCTCCCCAAACTTTCACAGTATGAGTCTCTTTTATTCCCTTTTTGAGGTGCCTTTACCTAAATTTATTCATATCACTGAGAGTTATTGGTACAAGCAACTGTACTACTGGTACAAGTAACTAAACAGGCCCACAGAAGTCTCTATCCCTCATCACAGGAAAATACAGAGAACTTCCTTCCTTAACATTATATAACCTTTTATATTATAATTTTTCTTATTACAACCAGGCTCAGTTCCCATATGCCAATTAATATTCTAATTCTGAAGCTCACACTTGCAGAAAAAAACAACACATCTGCATTGGACTGACATGGCCCACCTTGACATACTAGTGTCTTTATTTCACATAGTGCCTTCCTGTCTAACAGCTGTCACTAGAAAAAGACAGCTCAATACACTTCTTTACTTCAAAGGATTTAATGAAAAATTCAGAGTCCAATTCTTTAAGATAAGATTAGTTTCTACAACAATAAAACATAAAAAGAACAAGATAAGTGAGCAAAAGCGATAAAACGCACTGTCCAGCAACACTGATTTCCTTCTGCCAAAATACTACATGAGTAACTATATTGTATTAATACAACTCTCTTGCTATAACAATAATTAAACCTTGCAAACTTCCTCTCTGCCACACATGCACTTTAAGTAAGGCATTCATTTGATTAGATCACCAGAAAACCAAGTTCTCTTTATCAATGAGGAATTCGAGCATTATGGAGATAAAGGCATACTACGTAGTTTTTTCCAAAACGTCGAGACAGATCAAAGATCTAATTTTCAGAGCATTTCTGGCTTTTCACTCAGTTTCACAGCTGAGTTGATTGAGGCTGAAATAAACATAATATTTAGCTCAAGACATTACAAAGAATACTGTGGCAGGGAGCTTAATCTAGCATTCCAGAAAAGCTGATTTTGAGACACAGTCATACCACTGCTGTCCCATTGCAGATATGGTTTTGGGAATCCAAAATATCTACAGATATTGAGCTGCAATGTTCTTACCTATCTGGAGAGGGTCTTTGACAGCCCTCACCCGGAACAGCTGCTCCCCTCGCTGGAACTCATCCGCACTGCCATTCGCCAAACAAGAGTACAATCTGCAAGAGATACACATAATGTGTCAAGATCAGCCTGTTTTTGAGGAACTTGACAGTATTATCCTCTTGCATCCTTTGTTGACACGGCTTTTGAAAAATCCTTACTATCTTCATCTTTAAGATGAAGTCCAGCTCTTTTCTGCTTTTTTTCCATTACAATTCAACCATAAAAATCATTAGTCTCTTCCTAACTGGGTTTGTGTATAGCCACTGGCATTTCTAGGAATTTCAACCTAAGGCTCTGAAGTACAAATCCATTCATAGCCTAAAATGAAGCTTTTATATACAGTATAATATAAATTCAAGGTCCAGTGTTAGCATGCCACAGTAAAAAATCCTTGTACTTCTAGATGAGTTACCTGCATGCTCACATCAGGTTTTTTTTACATCTGTGCTCCTCAGAATAATGAACACGTACAACCAGCTGGCTTGCTCTATTGCCCCACAGACGATCTTACAAATTACCTCAGCACTTCTGACATTACCTCCCCCATCTGATACTAGAACATTAAATGAATGCATAGAACAACTTTCAGGATGATTCTTCCTAAAGGAGTGTAATATCACTACTTTGCAACAAAATTCTGAATGCACAGTTACGTGGGTAAGCCTCCTATACTATAAAAGCTTCAGCAAAAATACTTTGGTAAAAGATCTAAAAGCACAGAATTTTGTTCTCACACAATTTATGTGGAAACATGAGAAATATAGTAAACTCTCTGACTGTATCCACTTTGATCACTGATGTACTCAGCAAATTCTGATTCTCCTACTTACAACGAAAGGCTTGCACAGCATACTGACCTAGCCCTCCCTGGCAACTTCTGAGTCCAGTTAAAGCTCCGACTCAAGCAAGAGATTCAAACTGCAAAGAATAATGCATAAGACTAACATAGGAACAAAACTCTACAAACCAGTTACTGTCAGGCAAGTTAAAAGGTGCATTTATTCTGCTATCATTCACATACAGAACCTGCACATGTGCATGCTTTTCCTGGGACATATGCAGGGCAGCCCACCCTGAAATAAAACCCCATTATCACAGCATATCACACAGTAATCCATCCATGTATTACATAATGCACATGAGAACGCCAGAAGCAGCAAATATATGGGACATCAAATGGACAACCATTCTCCTCTAGCGAACAGAACTTTTCGTTAAGCATCAATGAAACATAAATAGTATTAATTACCTGATATCTTCCTCATTTTCTGGGAAACTCCAGAAGGCGATTCGAAGCTGCAGTTGCTCAGGTACTGGAGGATAAACTTTCTCCACCACCTCGAATGGAATGTGAAATGCAACCTGTTTTGCAGATAGTTCCACCAATGGGATCACCAGCCCATCTAGCAAGTCAAAAACCAAAATGCAGTTAGTCATTCAGAAAACAAAACTCATGAGAGGCTAAAGAGATTGTAGCAGGGAGCTCTTCCACTCCTCTCATCTCACCGAGTTCAAGGACCAATTTTGATAGACAGTAAAAGGCAGCAGAGAAATTTTCTGAAGAATTGCCTGCCAACTTTCTTTGTTTTCAGCCCCCAAGGGCATAGGTACACGTTCCTTAAAAAAACAGTCCTTTGTCAGGAGAGTTACATTAGCCTAGCAGATGTCAGTGACTTGGAAGTCTGTCTCCTGACAAAACTGAAGCCATTTAGCAAGACCTAAGGTAATCAAATATTTTTCACACATTTCTGTTAGAATATGGCAGCAACATTGTGTAAATGTCAGATGACTACACAGAGAAGAACTATTACAGTGTATATGCACAAGACAGCAATGGAAAGGTTATCCAGGAATCTTAGTACTGACTTTTTTTGTAACATTCAGTATTCAGCTATTTACAAGATTTTAATTTCAATTAGTATTTGTTATTTTACTCCCCTTACCACTACCTTTCATGTAACATCTGTCTTTATATTTCAAGTTCTTCACAGAAGAACTGGGAATTCGCATGTTTGTACAGTGCCGACTACACTGAGCCCAGGAGGATCTTAACTGAAGGCACCAAGAGCTTTAGGCAAATACATCTAACCACCACCTTTCTACCAAACTAACTCCACTTTTTATGTTTTGAAGTGCAGACGAAGCTTTCTTACCATCAGGCTATGGGAGCCTTATGTTTCTGCTTCACTCTGAGCTAGATTACGCTCTATACAAAATGCCAGACTTGTCTTATCTGCAAGCACCTCACTGCTTTACTGAGATCATCTCCTGATCCATCACTACAGCAGCCTTGGTTCCCCAGTCTTCCAAACCCTGTCGCCAAAAGCCTAATTAATTCAGTTTCAGGTATTCCATGTTATGTCTCTTCACCTCCCTAACCAGCTTCTAAAACACCACTGGAAGCCAGAATGTAAACCAATCTGGCCCTCAGCTTTCCTTCCTCACTATCCTCCAGGCAACATATCAAAGGAAAACTTAAGCTCTGATGTCAGTGAGCACTTTCTCACCTTCTGCCTAGAGACACCCTCCAGTCCCAACAGCTGGGAAACAGATAGGAAAGGAGAGGGCTTTGAAAGTGCATGCACACAGCAAAGCAGCCAACATTTCCCCTAGAACTGAGCAGACCTGTCAAATGGAAGGATTACACAAATATGGAAAGAAAATACAGTTTTTCCAAACATCCAGATCTATGGGGTTTTGATTGCAGTGAAATTACATTCATCAGGCAGCATTCCCTTCTACCAGATAGAGTCAGTCTTTTACTGTCAGGATTGCCTCTCCACTACCAGTGACTTTTACTCTACATTAAAGACAGAGCCTCTGTTTCACAGTGCTACAATCCCATCCATAAATGCGAGTGCAGCAGATTGTAAAATGAACAACAATAGAAGACTGGAGTGTCCCTTTCTTTATAGCTAGCAGATAAACAAGATTTTGACAGAAAAGCTATTTCACTTCCATTTTTGACAACCAAAACAGGTGTAAAGCTTTTATCAAGTCACTAAAAATAAATACTATTTTTAATTAGTCACTTAAAAAAAATAAGTGACTGTTTTTAATTAGTGCAGCACAGTCAACTTAAATGCAATTGCTGCTACTACTGTAGTATTAAATTCCATAGAAGGTTCTAACCAAGGCACTTTAATACTTGAAATTACTCTGAGCAACGAAAGGAGAAGCATTTCTTGTGGTTTTAACCTGCACTTTATCCACATCTTACATTACATGATACTAGAAAAGAGATAACACCTAAACAACCTCTACAAGGCACAAGATTCAAAAAAGATTTCAGTACCAGGCGAAACACCTGTACGTTCTTCAAAAAGCTGCAGCCTGGATGGTATTGCTTTTTACAAGTGCTGGGTATGAAGGTCAGATTAGAAATGCTAAAGGTGGACTGAGTTGACAAAAAAGCAGCAAATGCATTCTGCTTATTATTCTATCAGTACACCTTACTCTCAAAAATATTTTACTTTACTGTTGCAATGGACTAGGACACACATACAATCAGCTACTTGGTCTCAGTGGTACTAGTAGAGTAGTAAAGGCATTAGGAACAATAGTTCGATCATTGCAGTTACCCTCCAATCTCTCCATTACATAGTGTGGCTGTTGTCTCTCAAGCTAAACTAAACTAGCTCAAGAAAAAATACTTTGACAAGCGTTACTGAAACTACCTCTCCTGAGAATACATTTCTTCCACGTGGGAAGACAACACAAGCCCTTCTCATCTGCTCCAGTGCAAGTCTAATGCAAGTCAGCCAACTTGATTTTAACGGTTTTACTGTGAACTAAGTGAACAGTAAACTAAGGTAACAGACTGACTTTGCATTGAACTTATTAATTGATTCATCAGCTGTACTGTTAGTGGTAATTAGCAGAAGACAGGTGGCCAATTATTTCATATCATAACCCACAGTCAGACATTCACAGCACACGGCTTAGACATTTGCAGAATAAGGTGAAAGCAGTAAAACCTGGTGCAGAAAAAAATAATCTAAAAAGCAATAATTCTATCTATAAAACCATGCATCTTTCTAAAATGCTGTATTTGCTATAAGGAAAAAGAGATGTGGAAAAGAAATCATAGAAAATAACTGAAAAGTAGAAGATAATTTTTCAATAATACTTTAAGAGTGGGTGCTACTTTAAGAGTACCTAACTTCGCATACAATGTAAATACTAAAATTAAGAAGTTAAACTGCCCTAAGTCTCAAGTGGGGTAGTTCCCTATGCAGCCAAGGTGAGACACTTTTCTAGCATGTGACTTGGAGCATCAGAGGGTCTTTTCCTGCTAGGCCTCCTGTAAAGTCAACTGGACAGTTTGAGTTAGGTGCTTAAATTAGACTCTGAAAGTCCTAAACAAAGAGAGATCCATTTGAAAAGCTTATCTCTAGATACACAAATCCAGGGTTGGCAGATTCATACTTACTTGTATCAAAAGGTATTCTCAATAAAACAGACAAAGGGTACTCTCAGGTTCTGTATTAAATACACTTTCAGCAAGAAAAAAAAAATAATCTGCTAACAAAGAAAAGGAGAAACCATCACAGCTTCTGCCCAGAAAGCAAAGATAAGGACAGCAAGGAAGATTGCAAGTTCAATAAAAAAATGATACAGTTCTGAAATCAAAGATGTAATACAAAATTGACAAATCTGCAAGATGAATCTGTCCAAGGGAGCAGATAATTTTCAATCGTGGAGCAAAACTAGCAAGAATCACTGCTTCCTCTTGGGAAGCAGACATGATGACCCAAGCAGAACAAACAAAACATTTCAAGTGCTGGAAGCATAAAGTCACAGGCAGAGCATAAGCAACCTCAAACAATTCCCACTTACCGGTTAAAAGACCAGCAAAACCCAGGTCACGAAGGGATTTTGAGAGGCCATTTAATCTATACCTCCTACCTAAGAAGCAGGATCAAGCATATCTAAACCATTCTGAATAAATCACATCTCATCTATTTACTGCCATGTGGAATATGCAGCTCTGATGAGCACTATCCTATCCTTTTTGCTATTGTTTTATGTGAATTAAAGGGTTGATTTTTATAGCCATTTTATAACAGCTAAAACTGTAGCATAGACATAATTATTCCTCCTGGAACAACAACAAAAAAAACCAACCACCCAACCCTAAAACAGCCAACACAAGCTATGCACATAAACATGCATTTTCACCAGTGGAAACAACTTCTGTGCCAGCAGAGCTTACTGACACAGAGATGCACATGTAGATACATTGCTTAACCTTTCCTAGTATACATTAGGCTGTAACAAGTTGCAGCCAACAATTATTCATAAAAACCAGATCATATTCAATATGAGCTATTATTTCTTCAGTACAATAATTGAGTTTCCATGAGAGACAAATAGAGAAGAACCTGCTTGAATAATCAGTAAAATAGAGACCAGGAGAATATCAAAGACTTATTAAATGGAACAGACAGAAAACCAACCGGGCCAAGCACTGAATGTATTTATTATTTAATTACACTATTTCCATTGGGTTATCTTCATCTGAGACACATCTCTAAAAATAAACTATACGTACAAGTGAATAAATACAAATGAAAGTGAACAAATCTCACAGCAAGAGATAAGACAGTGCAAAACAGGAGGCACTGCTTTTGCTATATGTACCTTAAGAAAAATGGCATGTCAGGCTGCATTATCTTTTTAGAGACAAGTCTATAGGTTTGATTTTATAGCTATCCCTGGTCCTCATCTCACATTTCCACTCACCTTTCCTGCTGGCTTCCATCCAAAATGTAAGACGGCAACAAAGTAATACAACTATACACAGAACAAGGATGCGAAGAAAATTAAGTGAAGCACTTCTGATATCAAAAGCTAAAGTGAGAAGAACAGTAAAACTAACAGGAAATAAGCAAAGTGCAATCTTGATCAGAGAAGGAGGTATGTGGGGGGTGTTATAAAACCTCTTTTACAAATCTTATTAAAAAACCAGTAAATACTACATTGCTTTTTACAGGATTTGCCATGTAGAAAGGTAAATGCACTTGAAGCATTTCTGCTCATTTTATTTTAGTTAAGTGCCTATCAGCAAAACATCCCTTGACTTAAGTCAGTGATATATTCTCCCTCTGATACTCCTTAAAACAAAAAGTGCTAAGAACTCTCAAATATGGGCAAGCAGAGCAAGCATTACAGTGAACTGCAACATATCTAAATCAAAACTCTTCAAAAATACTTGGTTTCTTACTGTTTTCTATTTTTTGTACATTTCCTTCTAAAATTCTGCCTCTGATTTTACTTTATTCTCTTGTTCTTTTTTTCCTTTCTAGAAATTTATTCTCAGAGCTGATGTTTTTACAAAGCACATGCCAGAGAAATACATTCCTTCAGGTCTCAAACTCTGCAAGAAACATCAGAAAACTTCACCTTTGTCTTGAACTTTGTAATAGTCAAAATGAATGCTCTGAATGTACCTAAGAAAAAACAGTTTCCCAAGGTGAACATCATAAAATGAAACATAAGCTTTTTAATTAAAAATCCACTCTTCATTTAAATTAATTAGATCCAAAGTACTTAGGCCATTACTTCTTCTTCTTTACTTGTTCTTCTTTCGTTTTACCACATCATCAACACCCTATAAAAGGCAACATCTGTGTTTTTAAAAATAAACAAAATTCACCTCTGAACTGAGGATAAGACACATGGTATGTAACAGAAGCATGTTGCAAAAGTCTAAATATAAGGTATTTCCTCTTCCTTCAAAAGCATTTCTCATCCAAAACTCCATCCACAAGGCCCATTAACTTAAGTTCTCTTTTCAAAGACACATCCAATTAAGAGCAGAACTGATTCAATGGGTCACAGATACACCATCACCAGTCAGTCTTCTGTTAGGTCCCAGGCCTATGAAGTCATCAGAACGGGATATTGAACTTGCAGACTATCTAAGCAGTAAGGGTACACTTCTGTCTGCTTGCTGGTTTGTGGCTTTCAAGCACAGACTTGTGAGATGGGTAGCTAATACCCGTCCCATACAATTTCCCAAACTTCAGGCAACATCACTAAAAAATTAAGCACATCTATAATGCACTAGTATGTAATATATAGAAACGATGGACTATTAAGAGCATCCTTAAATAGTCTTGGGATTACAATCTTGGGAGTAAATCAGACTAAGGACAATTAAGTGTAAGCTTCATGATACAGTCATAAACAGGACAGCTATGTTTTCAAAGAGGTAAAGGAAAAGTTCTCCACCTGAGTAGAAGAGATATTGCAGCTACTCTAGTCTGTGCCTGTAAGACTTGGAACATATGAAGAATTTACTTGGAACATATGAAATACTGAACCACAACCACCAAGCTCCAAAAGGAAACCAAACACCTCACCATAAAAAAAAAAAAAAAAAAGCAACTGAAATAGCCAACATAATTTCAAACAGAGAAGAGAGAGAGATAACATATAAGCACTTAGAACAATAGAAGTAGTATTCATCTTTAAGCACTCATGCCAAAACAGGCCAAAGTTAGGGGAGAGAGGATTTGGGATATGAGTTCAAACTAAATTGAACAGCATGAGAAACTTCCATTGTAAGGCTCATAGGTGAACTGCTGGAGCAGCTATGAACCTGTACCATGTAGTAAAAGAAAGATTAGCTTGACATATGCCAAGAGTAGACTATCTAATAAAATGCATTAGATAATAAAGAAAAATCTTACTCATGATGCCTTCTTTCAGGCCTGTATTCTGATTCTTACAATTAGGAACATAGTTCCCTTTAAAAAATCATCAGTCTTTGCGTTGTAGATGATCTTTTTGAATCACACAGCTAGTCTCAGTGGTGTAATAGTGGAGACATATGTACACACACACACATCGTAGTCTGCTTCAGCACAATCACAGCTAATGGGTGCTCTCACAGCGGCCCAGCTGACATGCCAAGTACTGAACAGGCACCAAGAATGAATTTTCTTGCCCCAAACACAATACAAGAAACCAAACTGGCAAGCTGACAGGTCAGGACCCCAAGACTGAATCAAGACCCTGCAATGTCAGACCCTGACAGCTGAACAAACACAAGGAGCTGCCCCCTGCACCCAGTCCTGGTCTAGCTTGAATGTATGTAGAATGAAGCACCTGAAAAGCTGAAGACATAGCACAATATTCAAATACCGACTCGCAGCTGTCTTCAATTAGCATTCCTCTGCTTCAGATTAATAATTCCATGCCATCTTATACCAAGGGGAAAAAACCCACAACATTGCTTGTAAAAAACAAGCAAACCACAGTATTGCTAAGAAGTAGTTTATTTTCCTTTTACAGATTAAGGAAACCAATGTGAAGATACATATCCCTGGTTCCTCAACTATCCAAGCAGCGTCAATCTTAAGAAAATAAGCATCTCCTTTACCAAGTCAAAATAAAGTTTCAGCTACTTGTTTCTCAGATACTACCCACTCCAAACTAACTCCCTGCAAAACACCTCAGCATTCACAAAAACAGCTGCAACACCAAACAGAGAACAGTACTTTCGGTGGAATTCATCTGTGCGAGTTTTTCACATGCTGTGACTGACCCAGGTGGTTAGGTTAGACAAGAATAGGGATCAAGTTATGGAGAAAGGATGCTACAAACACCGCTGCTCATGATTGTTAACCAAGCTTGCTCAGAAAAGATGACTGGAGGGAGCATTCTGACTTGAGGACTCCTTTGGTTTTGTTTTCTCTCAATGTTTTTGTATTTTTAAAATGTCCACATACTCGTAACAGGCTAGCAAGTGCAGCTAAACTGATCCAGAAAAACAGCAAGGACAGTGCACCGTAACACAATCATCAGGTATTTCAGGCAGTTAGCCACAGGAAAAACTCTAAAAATATGTCTTTCTCCACCAGGGTTGTATGCCAGGATGATAGTCTCACTACGCAAGAATGAATATATATATACACATATGAACTTTTTTTTTATATATAATACATATAATTATTATATATAATATATATAACTAATAATTATATAGACAGACATACAATATATGAAAACACAGCACTAGAGAGATCAACCAAGTGATCAACCAACTAGCAAAATGCTCCAGAGAGCAAATCAAGATTCGGTCTGAATCACTAGTATATTGATTTGCTCACAGGACAAAGCAAACAAAAAAGAACTCTCAGGGTTACGTGGTTATATTTTTCTGTCCATGTAATTTGCCTGTTACACTTGCACATCACCCTTCTTACTGCCTGTAAACAATGCCGAACTCTCAGGAAGGAAAGTTATCAACTAAATATTTTTTTAAAAATTTAGGAACAGGTCTGCTTCTCTTGTTTGCTGTTTTCTTCTTCCTTTTCCTCCACTGCTACTACCCCCATAAGCTTACTACCAGTATTAAAACCCTAATGGGATCTGTGTTTACAAGACTTTCTTATACCTCTTATTTCCTCAGCCGGAGTTATACAACTCTATCTGGATCCCACAACCATTTTGCAGCAGCGAAATCACACTGAGAATAATGTCACAGGGTAGCAAACACAGAGATATATAAGACTATGCTGAAAGCAAAAAGAAGAACTGGGGGGAGGCCTACATCAGCCCTAAGCCACAGAATGACATTTTTATATACAAAACAGTTGAGAAGACAAATAAGCAACAGAACTTTTTCATTAGCACTTACTGGATAAGACTGATGAGATTCATAGCCAAAGACCATTAAAAATACAAATCCCAGATGGGCAGCTTACGGTCCAGACTTGGAAACCTCAGGCTTAACTGACAAACTGCAGCAACTACTACTACACCAATTCCATTACAACCACCACAATAACATTTTAACAATGTCTTTTCTATTTTTAATCCAATGAAAAATATTTGTTCTATCACAGGAGAGTGTCCAATTCACCTCCAAAGTCTCTGCCACCTACAGCAAGAGCTATAGCACAGAGTCAAATTTCAGCTCAATTGAATTTCTGAAAATTGCTTAGCACTACATCACAAACAGGTTATACATGTAAGTCAAAAGATTTAATGGCTCAAACTGTCTTTTTGTTGCTGTATTTACATTTCCCTTCAAAATGAGAGAAATACATTATTTGGCTGACTGCATAAACATATCCTGACATCATGTCTTCTGCCTCCAAGATTAAGACATTTTAGGAAGCAGAAATTAGTTTCTTCTATAAGGTAGACCTTAAAATACATCAAAATATTAAAAAAAAACCCCACCCTCATTTTTTATTTGCACACAAGTCCTGAGGAGTTGAAGAATACAATACTAAATCACACTGTGGTGTGGACTGGATGACTGAGGAGTCTTTTTCAAGTGTCAGTAATTTTAAAGCTGTTAAGGCTTGCAGTTCCCTTCTGGTCATCCAAATTATTAAAAAAAAAAAAAAAACAGCCCACATTTCTAACAAATCCATTTCACAATAGTATTCTACACTCATTCTCTGAATGCGTCCAGAGCTACAAAAAAAATTATAGAACACCAGCCAAAAACCAGCTGACCTAACTTTGCTCACCTGTGGAGAAATGGCATCACCATCATGCTAACATCAAGCACAGAGAACGCATCCCAAAACTATTTTTATTATAGAATCTCAGCACCTAACAGAGGAGGAATCCCACATACTCAGATCAACTCCTGTTGTTTCCATACTAGACTGATTTAAAAAATCGTTTTATCTTTATGTCACTATTTTTAAAGTTACATCTTTTAAATCATAAAGTGTCCAAGTATTATGCCAACTCCTGGTAACACTTCCAAGAGATTTCATGAGGCATAAAAAAAATGCCCTACAAAAAGAAAGCTGGTGAGGCTTTATAATTCTAAGCAATAACCGGTCAGAGAACTCAAACTCAGAAGATGCACTATGTACGTGTAAAGTCCAAAAGTCCTAACCTAGTTTAAATCAGTAACAGTATGCCAAAAATCCCACAGCCATACCTCAACTTTCCTTACAGTAATTGATAACTTCTTCCTGTTAGCAAAAACTCTCTACCAGTAGCAAAGCCTCCTACTGCTGTATAAAGTGATCATGATCTAACTTCGGAAAGTCTTTCTTTGAGATGCTCTAGTTCCCAGTGCCACTCCTTTTAAAGTTAAACAATGTTGAAACACACAAGCAGACACAGATAAACATGCAGGGTTCTTATATTAACCTGCAGAGTGCACACGAATACATGCAGCATTTACTTCCCCTGAATTTCTAGAGATTTGTGGGGAAATGGTTGCTTTTTCTTCCTGCACTCTCTCCAAATGAAACTTCTCCCCTGAGAATCAGACCTCCCAGCCCTGTGCCACACCAGATGAGAACCCAAGACGCATGGGGAGTGAGTTCAATGTCCTCTGACTACGAGACCAGCTACTCAGATCACTTTGTCAGACAATCCAAATACAATTTTGTTTGGAAACTTCCACAAAATGATTCAGGAACATTCTTTCATCCCACAAAATATCAGTATCCGATAATCACACTGCAACAACAGCCAACGGGGATACTGTTACTCTTGTCACAACTTAATCAATAGGGAGAATTTCCAATTTAACCAAATAATGTAGTACTGACATTACCAGGGGAAATCCGAGGTGCTGAGGACTGCAGACCCATGCCAGAAGAAAAAGGCTGATGCTTTCTGCTACAGGACTTTTTAGAAAATGACACGAGAAACAGCTCCTTGCACCAAGAGGCTACAATGTACATGAAGACAGATAACAGTCACTCTATCACCTCATGACCCCTCACCAGCCAGGGAGAACTGGGAAAAGCAAGAACAGACACATGGGTGTAAGTGAAACAGATTTAAAGAAACACCACCAGTACTAGTAGGGATACACAGAGTTACACTCAGCCAAATGAATATCCAGTTGTCACAGTCAACCAGAGAGCAGTCCTCAGGAGCAGAGAGAAGCCAGAGGAGGAGCAGGAAGAACCTCAGCAAGAACCCCACAGGAGCTCTTTTTCCTCAGTAAACCTTCCCCCTTTACAATGACCATGACATTACAGTGTGGGCTACTCCTGTAGCTAACTCAGGTCAACTGCCCTGGCTGACTCAACACTGCTAACGGCCTGCCTAGCATGGCTGAGCTGTGACTCTGTCCCAGCCAAATCAGGACAGACATTAAAAAGAAAAATAACAATCTCTGTCATATTATGCCTCCTTTCACCGCTGGTAAACATGACTAAAGAGTTTCAATATGCCCAAGTAAATTTTAACTGCCAAGCAGATAACCTGCTGGGTAATCATCCCTCAAAGATCCTCTTGCAATTAGTAGACAGAAGAAGAGCTGCACATCTGAAACCTTTTTTTGCACTCCAAAGGTCAACTGGCTGAAGAACACGTTTCCCTTCTTTCCTTGTCTTCCCTATGTCCTTAAAGCATCAGAGCTACAACACTCTTACTATATCAGAAACCAGGTCTCTAGAAAACAAACACTTGAATCAAGTCTTCAGAACTTCAGGAGCAGGCAAAGGTGGAAAGTTATATTTGGTAACCAAAAAGATGTTTGATGGGGGCAGAGAATAAAGATGAAACCAAAATCCATGATTTGGATTCATGACTCCAGGACAGAAACACCAACATATTCCTCCATCACTAAACTCTAATTCCTAAGACCCTTGTCACCTAAGTTCTGCCTCACGGTTCACATAAGATTTTGTTGCAAACACGTACAACGTACCTACAAAAAACATTTGCTCTGAGAATATGTCAGAACCTTTCCAAACACAAGTCAAATCCAGATCAGAAAGGTGTATTTTCCATTTAACTCTATTGCTTCTCCTACACAATAACTGTGAAAATCTTCTGCACAGGTCTGTGCTGATGAAACTGGAGTATTTGATGTTATGTTGATGCCTTACACCAGATGAGATCTATTTGTCTCTTCATAAGCTCTGCATCTCAAGAACAAAATGTCGGTAAGCGCTTTTCTCAACTCTCACCCACTCTAACATGATCGAGATCCCAAAACTGTAATATCAGCATTAGGCAGGCAATGCAGCATTCACAACTTGACAACCTCCTCTGGAAATTCAGACAAGAAAATTCTTAATCCAAAGACTTCCATTTCCCTTCCTCAAAAAAGAAGCAAAAAAAAAAAAAAAAAAAAAAGAG